GGGGGTTCCCGAAATGTAGGGTGAGATATACATATATATCTCAGTAAACTAAGTTCATTGGAGGATTCCTCCACCCCAAAGTTCACTTCAAGTGCAAAAGCAACAACAGAAATAATGCAATATATATATATATATATATGTATATATATATATATATATATATATATATATATGGAAAAGTATTTCTACAGCTACTTAAGATATGGTTATCTACAACTACCCTTTTTTAACTAAGTATGATCGGTCATACTTAGTTATAACAATAAAGCTATTCTTTTTTTCTCTCTCCTCAGACACTGTCGGCTGACGTGGCAGAGAGAGAAAATGCAATTTTTATGTATGACCGGTTATACTTAGTTAAAAATGGTAGTTGTAGACAACCTTATCTAAAGTGGCTGTAGAAATATTTTTCCTATATATATCCATACAATGTGTAAAATATCTCCACGAGACATCCCTCTAGCACTCTCGCCATCCATAGGATACTCAAATAAAATAGTCCTACTGGCCAGGAAATCTACCAAATATGAATTACGCATCGTCATGCAACACATAGACATAAGGAGCCACCATCCTATGCCACACAAAGTATTCCCATACATATATCGAAGCATTAAATAACCAATCATTGCAATTACATACACCACACAAACCAACACCCTTTCAGGGCTTGGTGGAACAATCAAGGGATAAATCCCAAGGTTGTAAAGCTTACCTATGAAGCTCTCCGCCAACTACTCTCCTTCGTAACCAAAGAAAATCCACAAAACTAGCTTTATCCAAAGCAACAACCAAACAAACTTGATTCAATCAACAACTTGTGAATGTGCACACTTAATCAACAAGGTGAATTTGCAATCAATAACACAACACAATCAATTGCACACATATGAATATAAACATATATTCATATAACTCTAAGGCAATCCAACATATCATTCCACAAGGTTGGAAACTTACCTATTATGGAATCATTCAAGATTCAATGCCAAGCTCCATTGGCTTATCTCATGATTAGTTTTTCCTCACTTGCTCATTTGATTCAACCCTAAATACAAATGAACACAATCTCCATCAACCATAGTCCAATGTATCAATTACTTGCAACACAAGTAAGCACATTTTTTATGTCAAAAATCTAAAAATTCCAAAGGTTGTCAAAATCATGTTTTGAACACATTTCCACCGATTATTTGTGTCCCTCAACATACTTTTCAACTAAAGCCAAGTCCAAAACCCACTTGAACGTCACTATTCACACAACACTTTCTTAGGAAAACCCACAAATAAATCATCATAAAAATAATGTGAAAATAAGGTTTCTTACCACCAATGGCTTCACAAAGGGACAAGGATTGATTTCCACACTTTTGATGAACCAAAACACTTCTCCTATGCTTCCACCAAGATGAAAACCGCCAACTTCCAAGAGTGATTTCTCTTCACTCACTTGATTTTTCAAGGATTTCTTTATAGGGTTATAATCACCAATTGATTATAGGTATTTTTCATGTTCAAAGTTTCTTGATTTGATGACAAATAAAGAAGTTGTATTTCTAAGCTCCAAACAAATGGAGGTTCGGCCAAGAAAAAGAAATACATAATAAAGAAGGAGAAGAAAATGAGACTTGTCTTAGCTTAGAAGACACTTGGTTAGTTAAGCCACCTTATTTGACATTTTGTCAAAATTAAAAAATATCTAAATTATAATTACTTAATTATCTTTCTTGAAATCTTTGATAATTTTATAACTTAAATATATTTTTTTAATTCAAGATTCACAGCTATGGTTTAATAATGTTAAACTATATTATTTTAAAGTGTCTGGCAATTTTGCATAATTATCTTTTTGCCCCTATACTTACACTTTTTGCATTTTCTCGTAAAATAATTTTAATTCTTCTAATTAAATTTCATATTTAATTTATCCTTCTAGATCATGATTAATTTTCTTAATCAAGTCATAATTTTATAATTTAAAAGTTAGGGTTATTATAGATTTATAGGTAATGCAGCTTTTTATTGCCTTTAATGTATCAAACTCTGTTGACATCAATATATATTAGCTGCACGATTCTCTTCGATGGTAAGAAATAAATCTTTGGTACTACTGTCGTACCAAAGATTTAGTGCATTCCATCAATGAAAATATTACATGTCATTTAAATATTTTTTTCTGACAAATATTTTCTCTCTCCTCTGATGTGTACTACTCTCATTGATGAGATGCACTGAATATAGGTACAACAGTAGTACCAAAGATTTATTCGGTGGTAAGTGCCAACAGATTTTAAAAGACATTTTAGAATTGAAGAGACTTTATAGACTTTTTTAAAAGACTTTTTATACAATCAAGATTTCATAGGATTAGATTTTAAAGGATTTTAATAGAATTCATAAGATTTGAAAGGACAATATGAATTTATAAGATTTTAAAAAACTATATGAATTTTTAGCAAATATTCAAAATTATAAGAGTCAATAAAAACAAATAACAAAGAAATGCAATGATATTAATAAAAAAAAAAGTAAACTTAACAACGGGTTGAAAATTATATCAAAAATTACTAAGCAACAACTCTCCACATATCAATAAAATCTAATATAATTTTCTCAATGAGTTTGAGTTTGAGTTTGATTGCGAAAATAATAACCATATATCAACGGTTAACTTCCAATTTAAATATTAATTAATTAGTTTGATTTGTGAAAATAATAACCATTGATTGACGAAAATCAACGATTAAAATATGATTGTAAACAAAAATAGGTTGTAAGTATAATATTCCCCATAAAAAAATAACAAAGAAATGCAATGAAATTAATAAAAAAAGTAAAACCTAATATAATTTTCTCAATCAGTAAAACATAATATAATTTTTAACAAACATTCAATATTACTAAACAACAGCTTTTCACATATCTAATGGGTTGAAAATTATCTTCTTCATTTGGTATCAAAGTTATGCATATACGATTATAAGACCCAATTTTTTTTAATTATAAAAATAATTCTAAATTTGCATATAGAACCTAAAGTTCATGATAAAAAAAAATTTCAAATTTTTTGCAATTGATCTTGAAAACCTTGGGTTTTTGTTTTACGTGATGAGAGTTTTCTAACCATATATCATATGCATATTTCCATTGAATATTCTAAGAAAATTTTGAATATGAAATTTTGGGTTTAATTACATGAAAGTTTAGAAAATTTCTCAAATTTTTTCAGTCGATACATTGAAACCTTAAATTGCTTTGGGGCTTTTGAGAAACAAGTTTTTAGTTATCTATTGACACAAAAATTGTTTGAAATCGTTTCCTATAGTAAAGGAATTTCGTTCATGAATGTATTGTTACGAAATATAGGGTTCATATTATGAAAGTTTCATTCTTTCTTTAAAGTGATATTGATTCATTGATGAAAAACGAAAATTGGTTTGAGGGTTTTAGTTTCGCTGTTATTTTTTCACTGCTTTATGTTGTTTTTAATACCAAAATCACACGTTTTTGTGCCAAGAAAAATTGCGACCCATAGCTTGAAAAATCACTTTTTAAACTTTTAAAATTTCTCAAAAACAGCTCAAAAATATGTTATTTTTAAGATAGATTATATTAAAATCTCGTTGGTTTGTTGTTTCTGGGTTGTTTTGTGATGAAAATCGCTCAAAAATATGCTTTTTTTTTAGTTTAGACGAAGCTCCGCGGAACCCAATTTCGAGCCGTCAACCTGCCGAAGGAAGAAGAAAACACTGCAACAGAAGAATCTCAAGAAATCCTAGGGGTTGGGGTGAGATTGTGAGAGAGACATCCTATTTATATTTTTCACTAAAAAGTCTCACGAAATCCACACCAATAGAAAATCCATTACAATCGTCGGATTTTTGAATACCACGAGATTGTGATTCCATTGTTTAAAATCCTGATAGAATACCAACGAATTTGGACAGATTTTAAAATAATCCTTTAAAATCCTAATCGAATACCACGTGACTTTTTTTTAATCCATTAAAATCCTAATCGAATTCCAACGGATTTTTTTGTCCAAAAACAATCTATTAAAATCCTTTGAAATCCCAATCTAATACACCCCTAAAAGTAAGTTCATTTTACGAGTTTGGCTTCAGAATTTCGAAGCCATATTACTTATGATTTCATTCTTATTAGGAAAAATCATATTACTTGATGTATAGTCGTAACTCACTCTACAGTACCACAAATTGAATCAATTTTTTAATGAAAAGACAAGAGTTTGGAGTCTTCTAATCGCATAATACTAAGAGATTAGTAATAAAAATATCCTATTCAAAGAAATCACTACATTGTGCTACCCAAAAGTGTTAAAATATATTGATGATGATTGAAATTAGTCAATTAGAAAATATTAGTAACTAGAAGCACATATAAAAATAAATAAATAGAGAACAATCCATTTTTTTGGTCAAAACTTCTTAACGATACTTTTTTTATTTTAAGAAAACTTCTCAACAAGATTTTAATTATAAAACTTTTCAAATACAAAATAAATTATTCTAAATAGACACTAGGCCACGGGCATGGCTGGATTACACTGATCATTCCCCACAATTCCAAAATACAATATGTTTAGAATAAGATGGGGGATGTGTTTGAGTATTAACCATCACCGAATCTGCTACGGAATACATACAGCCTCCATTAAAACTTTTATATAGGACTTTTTTTTTTGCAGATATTTCGCTTTTTTAATGTAGGACTTTTTTGTTTGTGTGCTAGACACAGCTTTAAGATGCTCGAGTTCTTCTGCACTATAATTTTATTTATTTTTTCAATTAGTTATCCATAAAACTCTCGAGCGTTTGATGCTCACCAGCGTAACCCTTTTTTAAGCCACTGACACGAATGAGTTTCTGAGTCACATTAATAAGTAAAGGAGGGGTAGTAAAAATGATTGATTAAATTGAACAAAAATTTGAGTTTTGTCATCATGTGACATTTTAGATATTGATCAAAATGTGGGCAGAAACCAAGAACGTCCACAACTCATTTCATTTCCTCATTACAAACTTGGGGAACAAATCCATTCAAAAGAGATGTACAAACAATTTTAAGAATGCACCAAGACCCCAGTACATCATATTGCTCTATCCCCAAAATATGCAACAATATGAGAATGAAACCAAGATATTCAGACAAATGTAAGGGTCCTCTGAAAGCTAAGAATCCAATTGCAAAATGCAACTAACAAGAAAAACCCGCTCAAGCAGAAGCAAACTCTGACCCCCAAAAAATAAAATAAAAATCATATGGATGTTTCCAATGGTTAAATAAGCCAAAGGAAAAATCACAAGCTTAGGCAGCCAAGCATGAATATGGTAAACCTATGTGTATGATTGTATTGGTAAACGAATTAAAGAAACAAGAAATTGAAAGCACTCCCACAGCAATCCAAGGAATAAGATGATGTAAGTATAAATAAAAGCTCCAAATTTCCAATCAATTTAACCACCAGAGTGAGAAGCTGCAGTTGTTTCAAAATGGCCATCCTTGAATACATGAATGTATTGTTGTGGCAAAGAATGCTCAACCTGCAAAAGAAGTTGTGGTTAAAATTTGGAATTTATATCACCTGACTTCCCTAGTTCACAGATAGTTTCTGACCAAGAAGTATGCATCCAATTTAACAATTTTCGGAAGACTGAGCCAGTAAGTCACATGTAATTTTACGATGTTTCAAATAAGATTCTAATTATAAATGGATTCCATCCACTGCTGTATGATAGGTAAGCAAATTCAGACTGCACACAGCACATATTGAGGTGGGAAGCAAGACACTTCTAAATTGCAATCAATAACAATAACAAAAACATACTATGATATTCAACTTTCAATGGTCAGGGCATCAAAATTGTCCGCAAGAAATTGTGGGGAAAAGAGGAATGGGTCTATTAAAAATATGAGTTCATGTTCAGATGATGGGGAACCAAACTTTGCAATTAGCGAGTTAAAGGATACAGATATCAGTAAAACCAAACTTTTCAGTATCAAATATAGAACAGGAAAATGAAAACTTACCCAATCATCATCAGGCTCAGCACCAGGAACCAGTACATTGATCTCACTTGACTTTGCTGTAGATAAGGATGCTTCTAAAGAATCTTTGCTCAGATAAAGCTGGCAACCAGAAGTGTTGTCCACCGAAATTGTAGGAGCTAAACCCTTTTATTAGTGAAAGTAAGGGTAAGTACAACCAAATCATTTTTTATCTATCAAGTCTTTTATTTAGTTATAAACTCTTATCCTTTGCATCTCATCAGTTATATCATTAGTAAGATCAGTACAGCTATTATAATATTTTGGCAAAATAATATCATATTCAAGACATTGGAAGTTGTTATGGAGTGAAAAAGAGGCAGTGAGGATACCTGGCATTGAACCTCAACCCCATTACTGTTTACAATCTCACAAGCTGCAACAACATCCTACATTTTAAAACAGACAAATTAACTCACATTTCCCTCAATATGAATTAATTCCATCATCTAATATTATAAAATCTCTGTTTTTTGTCTCACAAACCTTAAACACAACTCCCATCTTTGTGCATTTGTCAATAGTTATATTGTTGACCTTGCCTGCAAATTGTTTAGAAGTGATTTAGTCACTTGTAGCTTTTTCACCAACTGATAAGTTTGATAACCAATAGGAAAAAAAAAAAGCTTTTAACATAAGGAAAAAAAGTGTGTCATTTTAAATGAAATAAGTTGTGTCATTGCATAGACACAAAGAGGTGGGACTACTGGAAAAAAAATAAAGACAAAAAAATAAAGGAGTGGGAACCACACCTCTGTGTCTATGAAATGACACACCTTTTTCCCTTAACATAATTATGACTACCTTGAATCTGCAAAACAGAGTTTTTGCATCCATAAACATATACAGATTGCTTTGCATCACAATCTTCAATGACCAAGTCTTTCTTCTCAATTTGATTCTCAACAGCCCACCTACAGTGGCAGAGAAAAGTTAGGTTAGGGAGATGAAATAGTGACATTGACTTTATATACATCATAGTAACTAAAATGCACGTGCGCACACACGCACACATATAAACCTACTTGCGGCCCATTTGAAGTTCGAACTTTGGAGGCCCTACTTTAGAAATTGCATGCGAACCTGCATGACTTTCTTTTTCTCTAGTGCCAACAATTCCAGTTCTATCTGTGCGATTCTTAGTCTTCATACCATCCGTAACCTTTCTCAAACCTATTAGATAAAGTTTCTATAATTCATAAATGCTGAATATTCAATCAAGAAAATAAGAGCATTAGCAAGAATATGCTACCTCCAGTGACATTTCCTGAACTGAGTTGTTGAAAAACAGCAGACATTCCCTCTTTTTTCTTAGAAGATGAAGCCTGAGATGATTCAGGACTAAAGAGAGAAGCAGGCGGAGGAGGAGGGGCAGCAGGTGCAGGGGCTTTTGATGGAGCAATAATTTTTCCTGTTGGACTCCATACAGGGCCTAAAGGATAGAAGCTCTTGACATAATCCCTCAAACCAGGTATATACAAATCTTTCAGAGCTTTGGCCCACTCAACATGATTTGGGTCTTTGTTTCTATACTCTACAAGCACCTGATTATGACAACAAATGTAAGACAAGATCATTATCCTTCACTCGCTAAATAGAACCCAACATGAGATAGGAAACCGAGAGGAAAAATCTAGGAGGCTAGTGCAATATCAGTACACATTATTCTGCACTTAAAATGTTAGCAAAAGTAAATTGTAAATCAAGCATTTAAAATCACAATGACTGAGTTTAGGCATATAAATATTAAGATTGTTGATCATCTTTCATTTCCTTTCTCAGCCATTATTCTGATGTAACTCAAGAAGTGGATAGAGTTATGCATTTTAAAGTAAATATGAAACTTTGTTCAATGCAAGGATATAGTACTTATCAAGGGGGAAAAACCTTAACTTGCAGAGGACTCCTTCATATTTTCCTCATAAATGTTAAAGGGAGAGTACCAGTAGTTCATGAAAGTTTATCCAAGACAAATCAACAAGCTCTTGGCATGCATCAAGAATACCTTGTTGCTGTAAAACTCGGCCATTTGCCAACTTTCTTCCACATGTGCAATGGGCATACTCATACCTTGAAAAAACATAAAAAACATAAGACACCAAAATATAAAGATTCATCCTAGAATAGATTCATTCGTCACTTACCACAGTCCTTCCCCGTATATGCAATCCATGCTAGAGCTGAGAGACTGTCAACAGCAGCCTTCAAGTGATTAAAAAAATCGGATCTCCTTCCTTCTGTCAATGTGCTAGCTTTCACGATCACTTCATTCAATGGTTTCAGAAATTCAGCCAACCCAGAATGATCAGGCTTCTGCACAATGAATGATGTGTGACAAATTAACAAAGCATTCACAAACACCAGGACATGTACTCCAAAGAAGATCAAAATATACAGCACGAGCTATTATATGCACTTTCTTTTCTATTATCCATAAACAATCTTGTAATTCTTTTATAGCAATCCTAGTATCCTAGTTAGGCAACATTATGCTTATGCAAATTGTTTTGAAAAGTGATGGATGTAGTAGCCCATTTGAGGAAATTTCAAAGCCAACTAAATATGTTTGGTCAATTTCACACAACTGATTCTCACAAGTTCCGAGACTGTAGAATTAATTCTTCCACCTGAGAAGGTTTTATTGCTTTTACGGTGGAAAATCAATTCTAGTAGCTGCGTCTCATTAGTTTTAAACAAATTTCCTTAATATAAATTCCACCATGTGGAACCTTAATATTTTACTGCATACTCTTTTAACACCTCAAAACTGATTTGGTTTACCATGCACACACAAACCCAAATTTAAAATCAAAATTTTCAACAATCATTTTCTAATCATCACCTTTTTTCAATTAGTTTTTTTTTTTCTAATTTTTTTATTTATTTTTTTACAATCTAACCCAAATGGGCACATTGTTCATCCATTCAAAGTAACAAAAATTTAACAGCAAAATTGCACATGCATGAAGGAAGAAAAGGATTACTTCCAGAAAGATGGCAACCGAAAGGGCACATTGTTTGTCCATTCATATTAACACAAATTTAACAGCAAAATTACACATGCAACAATTTATTCACGCCAACCAAATGGCGCACGTGAAATTGAAATCCGTTAACAGGCTCAGATCGACAATCCCTCGTGGAACAGAAAGCGAGAAAACAGCAATGACGAACCTGAGTGAGCTTGAGCTTAATCAAAAGCTCTCTCTGGACAGCAAAAGCTTCCTGCACAACTTTGGTCACCTCCGAGACCTGTCCTCCAATAATTTCGGCAGCACCGGAAACCCTAACAACATACTGGCCGATCAGATCGTCGAAGGCAACAACGGACGGATCGAGCACCGCATCCGCGGCGTCGGAACCGCCAGCCGGTAAACCGGAAGAGCGGATTCCGGTGGTTAGCGCCTCCAAGCGCGACACCGCCGATTCCAATCGATGTATGAGCTTCTCCTCCATGCCTCAGATCTGGTACCAAATGAGATGATGAAGCCGTTATCCCTTTTTTTATTTAATTAAAAAAAAAAGAGAACGATACAGAAAGGGAAATAGTGGAACAAAGAAAAGTAGTTTTAAGTTTATCTTACTTTGCGCGCGAGGTTGGGATTTTATTGGAGCTGCTAAAGGGGAATTTCTTATGCCACCACGTGTCATTTTAATTTTTTTTATTTTATATTTTGCTTTAATATTTCTACATTAAATGTAGATAAGTTATCTACATTCGCTTTTAAAACGACGTCGTTTTGTATTAAAAAAATTAAAAATTATAATAAAAAAGATTATTATAATCCTGAAATAAATTATAATTACAAAAATACCTTGATTTCTACCTCAAAACGACGTCATTTGGGGCTCACTGTATATAAGTCATCTACATTATCCTCTATATTTTTATGTAAATAAAAATTCCAATTTTTGTGTTATTGTGTTTTAAACTTGTGCACGTACGCTTTTATAATAAAGAATAAACAGATTCTATTAAATTATAAAGTTGTTCACAATGTTGGCCATGAGAATGTTGGAATTTTCTTAATTGACTATGAATGTTATTTTGTTGTAAATAAGCTGATTATTTAACTCGAGTTTGGAAAAGCAATATAAGTTTAATATTGTCGGAACAGGGACCATTTTGTCACGTTTGGATAAAAAAATTACCAAACTGTCACGCTAACAGTAAATTTTGTCAAACTGCCACGCGGTATAATTCGCTACACAGTGTAGCGAATTATGCATGCAAGTAATTCGCTACACAGTGTAGCGAAATATGCCACGTCAGAACCAAAAAGTGCGATGTGTCAAAATTGTTGAAATTCGCTAACCTATGTAGCGAATTTCAACAATTCTGACACATGACACTTTTTGGTTCTGTGCCTTCTGACGTGACATATTTTGCTACACTGTGTAGCGAATTACTTGCATACATAATTCGCTACACTGTGTAGCGAATTATGCCGCATGGCAGTTTGAGAAATTTTACTGTTCGCGTGGCATTCTGGTAATTTTTTTTGTCAAAACTTAACATTTTGGTTACTGTCCCAATATTGTCAGTGATCTATTGATTGTAAGTTGGGCTCGTCTTGTAGAGTTGTATTGGGGCTGAAGTAGTTGGAGACCCAACAATGACCAATCATAATGGCCCAATTGAAAGTAATCCGTCATTGTAGAATTGAAAAAAATATGCTCACCTTTTTCTGTTGAGCTTATTTCTACTTCTATGAAAACTAGCATATTTCTGCTTCAATCACAATCCAGATAACATGACTAACACATGTATACTTTCTATGTTCTTTACGATTTGGTGGTTTTATGTCTTCCATGTAATGTCATATTATCATTTTTCAAACTAGTCAGTAGTCGCATACTGTTACGCTACTAGCCAAGGAGATGTTGGACTATCAGGCACATGAGCATAGCCTAAACACACAGCACTTACAATGACCATGCAATGTTATACCATAATGTTATTTTCCCTATTATGATGTTATTAATTTTCCTTTTTGAATTTGTTATTAGCTTTCTGTTACAATCCCTTGGTGAGTATATATGTCATAGGACAAGAGTAATGAAAATAATGAAGAAAAGTTTATCAAAAACCCTTTTGTTGGTTTAGGAGGCAACCTCCCCTCGAAGAGAGGCATTTCTTCTGTTTTTTCTTCTTCTTTTTTCATCTCCGTTAACACATACCCGAAGGATAACTCAGAAGAAGATTAATAGTTGGCCTGACTATTCTTTCTCTTGCAAGAGTAACTTGGCGATGAAGCTAAGCATGCTTGCAGTAGCAGGAAAGTCGTGAAAGTTAAAAAATACCTCGATTCTTAGTTTGGGTTCAATATCAAACGTGGCAGAACAGCATCATCAGAAAATGAAACATCTCATGTATAATTTAAAATGATCATATCATGTAAGACAATCTCAATCATTCATGAATAAATCAATGATTATCTGTTTATCATTCTTTATCCCAACATGTCATCTCTCATCACAATTGATTTGTTTGTCCATAAATGATTAAGATTCTCTCACATGACCTGATCATGTTAAATCAGGTATGAGGATACCATTGGTTCTTTTTGCGAACTTACAAGGTGATGGACCCAATATCAGAAAAGGTGTGCAGGATGCTTCGCAGGGAGAATTGGCATGGAAGATTCACCTACAGGATACTGATAGGGGCCAACTACGTAAGGCCCAATTGCAAAAAGTATATGTAAGAGACAAAAATAGAAGAAGAGGACTTAATGCAAAAGAGCCCAATACAAGTCTGTTGGAGGATGAGCCAGCTGCAAGAGAGGCCAAGGCAATGTTGTTGGTGAATGCTGAGTCAGCTGGAGGTTAGAAGAGAACGTGGTGCAGCAATTCAGTTAGCAAGGAATGAGTATTAGTAGAGTGAGGAGCAGGAAAGAGAGACACCAAGGGGTCAGGTTGTTATGAAGTGTTCTGAAGAGTATGCAAGGGAGCTCTTATTATTTTCTTTCTTCTGTAATTTCTTTTCCTTCAAACATTGATCCATAGCAGACTATGGAGAACCAGATGTATTGTTCTTTAATTTGTTGTTGGTGATTCTGAGTTTATTAATACAAGAGTATTATTCAGTATAATTCCTGTTTATTTTACTTAAGTCGTATCAAAGTGGTATCAAAGCTCCGACTGGGAGCTGGGTTATGGTAAGAACACGAAACATGGAAGGTATGGAGGAGAGGCTGAGACGAGGAGAACAGACCCAAGAAGAGTTAAGGGGACGCATGGATGCTAATGATGCAAATCAAGCAGAAATTATTCGACAGTTACAGGAGTTGGGAGCAGGCATGGAGCAGCTCCGTTCTGAGGAGTTTCGTAACAGGGCTCATCGAGAACCAGAAAACAGGGGCAGAAACGGCTCCGAAGGATCCCATGGAAGTCACAGAGGAGGGGGATACATGGATCCTCGAGTGAGAAAGCTGGATGTACCCATTTTTTCAGGAGAAAATGCTTATGCGTGGCTAAGCAAGGTGCCCACTGTAATGTTAGTCTTAGAAGGTGAAGCCCTGAATTGGTATCATTGGTGGGAGCTAGATAAACCAACAGTGGCGTGGGGGCAATTCCGACGCGAAGTGTTGTGCCGATTTCAACCAGAGCTCCTGGATAACCCGTATGACCTCTTTACTCATTGAAATAGACGAGTTCGGTGAAGGAATTTAGAAACGAATTTGAGACGGTGGTAGGGACGATGCGTTACATGGATGAGGAGATGTTGAAAGGGGCTTGGCTGAGTGGGCTCAAGCTTAGTATCCGTCAGGAAATATTGATGACACCTGGGCTGAACTTGTCTTCTATGTTGAAGCTGGCCCAACGAATTGACCAAAGGAACTCAGCTTGGATGGATGAAGGAGTGGGTTACTTTGGGCCTAAGGGGTCAGCTGGCCCAATTCGAAGTAATGGCCCAGACAGTTATTCTAAGGGTGGGTTTAATAAGAGTGCCTCCCCTCAAACGCCAGGTCAGTCCAGCAGCATAGGGAGCCCTAAACCGAGTGCCCTAGGCCGCGAGGAGTCAACCGCAGCATCTCAGGGAAGTTCTGCGATGAACCAGGGTGGGTTCTGTCGGCTGTCAAACGTGGAGGCCACCGACCGGAGGCACCGAGGCCTGTGCTTCAGATGTGAGGAGCGGTGGACACCAGAGCACCGCTGTTCCTCTCGACTGATCATGGATGATGGGGAGGAAGACGACGCGCAATAAGTCTCTAGAGACACCCAGGTTGACACGGAGCCCATTACGGAACCGCTAGGGGAGCCATTACAGCTCACCTTGCATAGCATGATGGGTCTCACCTCCAATCAGTCAATGAAGGTTTGGGGTGAAGTCAAGGGGGAAAGGTTGGAGGTACTCATAGACTGTGGGGCCACTAGTAATTTCGTGAAGGCTGAGGTGGTGCAACGTCTGGGGCTAAAGGTGGATGAGACTCCTTCGTTCAACGTCATTGTTGGGGACGGGCACAAAGTGGAATGCCGCGGGGTGTGTAGGAAGGTGACGGTCAGAGTCCAGGAGCATGAGATTGTTCAAGATTTGTTCCTCTTCGCACTAGGAGGGGCATATATTGTCCTGGGGTTGGATTGGTTGCGGGAATTAGGGGAAATCAGAGCTAATTTTCGAGAAATGACACTCAAATATGGGGAGCCAGGCAAAGAGACGATCATTAAAGGAGATCCATCGCTGTCCAGGACTCTTTCATCTCTTAAAGCCATGACCAAGGCCCTTAGGCAAACGGGGCAAGGATTTTATGTGGCCAAAGAGGACTATAGTCTGGAAGGGAATAATGATGATAGTATCTTTCTTCAGGAATGGAAGGAGTTAGGGGAATTATTGGAGGACTTTGGGGATTTGTTTGCACGGCCAAAAGGGATTCCCCCTCAAAGGACCAGAGACCATTCAATTGTATTGAAACCAAAGAGTCAAGTGACCAACAGTCGCCCTTACAGGTACCCGTATTATCAAAAAATCGAGATTGCGAAGTTGATTGCTGAGCTATTAAGTGATGGGTTCATCAGACCCAGTGTGAGTTCATATTCTAGCCATGTCATCTTGGTAAAAAAAAAGACGGTAGTTGGAGGGTGTGTGTGAATTACAGGGCGTTGAACAAAATGACAGTGTCGGACATGTTCCCCATACCAGTGGTTGAGGAATTGTTAGATGAACTTGGGGGATCTAAGGTGTTCAACAAGCTGGACTTGAAATCCGAGTATGATCAAATCAAGATGAAGGAGGAAGACATTCACAAAATCGCATTCCGCACCCATGAGGGTCATTACAAGTATTTGGTGATGCCATTTGGCTTCACTAATGCTCCCTCAACCTTCAATGCCCTTATGAATGAGGTATTAAAGCCATTTTTATGGAAATTCGTGTTGGTTTTTTTGATGATATTTTAATTTACAGTAAGAATGCCTTCGAGCACCTTGAGCACCTCAATTCGGTTTTTTCTGCATTAAGGAAACATCAGCTGTTTGTGAACAAAAAAAAATGCAAACTGGGGCAGAGTAGGATTGAATACCTGGGGCACTTCATTACAGCAGAGGGTGTGAGTGCTGATCCCAACAGAATCTAGGCCATGCTAACTTGGCCAAGTCCGAAAAATGTGAAGGAGTTGAGAGGTTTTCTGGGACTCACGGGATACTATAGGAAGTTTGTTCGTGATCATGGAAAAATTGCTCAGCCACTGACTCAACTACTGAAGAAAGAGGGATTTCAGTGGGATCAAACAGCAGAGGAAGCTTTTCAAATTTTGAAAAATGCTATGACCAAGACGCCAGTTTTGTCTTTGCCCGATTTTTCTAAACAGTTTACAGTTGTAACGGATGCCTCAGGGAAGGGTATAGGGGCGGTCCTAATGCAAGAGGGTAGACCGTTGGCTTATCTGAGTCAAGGATTTTCAAAAACGGCTTTGTCTAAGTCGGTGTATGAAAAGGAGTTGATGGCCATAGTCGTTGCTGTGAAGAAATGGCGTCATTATCTGCTTGGGAGCCATTTTATAGTAAAAACCGACCAAAAAAGTCTCCGATTTCTGTTGGATCAGTCGGTTTTAGGAGAGGAACAACAAAGGTGGACATCTAAGCTATTGGGTTATGATTTTGAAATCCAGTATCAGCCGGGTAAGGAAAATGTGGTGGAGGATGCTCTTTCTAGGACAATGTGGTACTCATCCATCTTTCAAGTACAGTTACCTGAATTGGAGGTGGTGGACAGGGAAATTCAGAGTGATCCCAAGCTGCGAACAATAGTACAGGCTCTGGTGCTTAACTCAGGTGCGCATGGGGGATTTAAATTGGAAGAAGGCAGACTTTTTTACAAGGACAGGTTAGTCCTCTCCTCCTCATCTAGATTTATTCCCTTAATCATGCATGAGTTCCATGATTCGAATGTGGGTGGACATTCGGGTTTCTCTCGTACTTACAAGGTATTGGGCCTTGTATATTGGGAAGGAATGCGCAAGTTCATTCAGCAGTATGTTAAGGAGTGCTCGGTGTGTCAACAATACAAGGTTCTGAATTTGTCTCCGGCGGGTCTTCTTCAACCGTTACTTATTCCCACGCAAGTGTGGTCTGAAATCTCCATGGATTTTATTGGGGGACTCCCTAGAACGTTTGGGGTAGATACTATTTTTGTGGTAGTTGACCGGTTGACAAAGTACGCTCATTTTATGCTACTCTCTCATCCTTATTCAGCAAAACAGGTGGCTGAACTGTTTGTTAAGGAGGTAGTTCATTTACATGGGTTTCCACTGACCATAGTCTCGGATAGAGACAAGATTTTTTTGAGCAAATTCTGGTCAAAGTTATTCAAATCAACAGGGACTAAATTGCATTACAGTACGACATATCATCCTCACTCAAATGGGCAAACTGAGGTGGTCAATCGGGGTTTGGAAACTTATCTCCGTTGTTTTTGTGGGCCTAAACCGAGGAGCTGGCCTAGATGGTTACATTGGGCTGAGTTCTGGTACTTACATACAAGGAATCAACGGGCATGACACCTTTCAAGGCCCTTTATGGGACTGAACCCCCTCAATTGTTAAGAGTAGGGAACAGTTTTTTGAGAATGGATGCAGTATCCTCACTGTTGGCCGAGAGAGAAGTCATTTTGGAGGAGCTGAAGACATCTTTAGAAAAGGCTCAGAATCGGATGAAGGTTCAGGTGGATAAACACCGAAGGGATGTGCAATTTGAAGTTGGAGATAGGGTGTATCTCAAGATCCAACCATATCGACTAAAGACATTAGCAACAAGAATTAATGAAAAACTGAGCCCAAGATTCTATAGGCCATTCTTGGTGGAAGAAAAATTTGGATCAGCTGCTTACAGGTTAGCCTTACCTGACGGGTGTAAAATTCACCCGATTTTTCATGTATCTCTGCTTAAGAAGGCTGATCCATTAGTGCATGCTCAGCAGCCTTTACCTGCTGGCTTGTCTGCTGATTGGGAACTGCAGGTAAGGCCTGCTAAAATTTTGGACTGGCGTCAAGATGCTTAGGGCCATGTCCAAGTTCTGGTCCAATGGTTGGGGTTGCCTGACTTTGAAAATTCTTGGGAAGATTTTGTAACCTTGGACGAGCAATTTCTAGAACTGCACCTTGAGGACAAGGTGCTAGTGGTGGGGGGGAGTATTGATAGGGCCCAACTACGTAAGGCCCAATTGCAAAAAGTATATGTAAGAGACAAAAATAGAAGAAGAGGACTTAATGCAAAAGAGCCCAATACAAGTTTGTTGGAGGCTGAGCCAGCTGCAAGAGAGGCCAAGGCAATGCTGTTGGTGAATGCTGAGTCAGCTGGAGGTTAGAAGAGAACGTGGTGCAACAATTCAGTTAGCAAGGAATGGGTATTAGTAGAGTGAGGAGCAGGAAAGAGAGACACCAAGGGGTCAGGTTGTTATGAAGTGTTCTGAAGAGTATGCAAGGGAGCTCTTATTATTTTCTTTCTTCTGTAATTTCTTTTCCTTCAAACATTGATCCATAGCAGACTATGGAGAACCAGATGTATTGTTCTTTAATTTGTTGTTGGTGATTCTGAGTTTATTAATACAAGAGTATTATTCAGTATAATTCCTGTTTATTTTACATAAGTTGTATCAGATACCAAGCATAAAACAACTTTTTCCATTTCTTTTTTGAGGCACTTTTCCCCTGGTTAAAGACACATACGATGTTCATACTTCCAATATTCTGTAAATGGGGCTAAAGGCCGAGACTCCTAATCCTCGCAAGTAAATAGAAAGTAAAAACAAGAAGTTCCCTGAATATGTATTACTAATATTATAGAAATATATATGTCAACAAGCAGACAGATAAAATTGATATATAGTGACATACATATTTACAAGCCTCGTCTCTTCCCAGCTCCCAAGATAATGCAATACAACAAAATGGTATCGAGACCTAAAGGGAGTAACTACACCGTGTACAAGATATGAACAATGACTCTTGACTTATTCATAACATACTGAAAACCATAAGAACAAATAATTTGATCACCAAAGTTGCATAACCAATATTACAAACAATCATCTCCGTCTTGATTTTTCTATGGGTTCTGCATGCTTTTGTAAATATGGAACTCTACCGGAAACATCTGCATGAGAAGGCACAGGATCTTTGTCTCTAATTGTACGTAACTCCTATTCAACAAGTTAAAGTTAGTAATTTAAGGAAGTTGAAGTGGCATTTAGTTTCAAAAAGAAAAATTATTTGCAACGTAACAGGAATGTACTATCTTTATAAGAGAAAGAGTGGGTGGAGTAGAGCTTACAGAACGAAAGGGGAAATCATCTGTCTCCAGCATATGAACAATTTGACCCATCTTTGGTCGCTTAACGACATCCAAATCTATACAGCGCAGACAAACCAGTAGAACTCGCTTCAGAGATCTTGGAGAGGGTTGAATCTCAATTAAAGGATCAACTAGCTCATCACTGCGACGACTTCCTACCATTCCCTTAAACCAATCAACCAAATTCATCTGAAGCACATCAAACAAAAACAGATGTAAGACTCCATGGTGCACATGGAATGCACAAATGAAACTTGTACAGAACCCAGAATCACCTCTCCGGGTGGTCTTGAATAATCAATGGGGCTTCTTCCTGTAATTATCTCCATGAGTAGAACTCCAAAGCTATACACATCACTGCGCTCGTTAAGCATTCCGGTGCTTGCATACTCAGGTGAAACATATCTGCAGAAAATTAGCAGTAAGAAATAATAAGATAATTGTCACTCACTTCTATATAAGAATAGACGTTGTAAATTAACTCAGATCCTTGAGAAAAAGAGCTTATTACCCAAATGTTCCCATTACACGCGTAGTCACATGGGTTATCTCAGATCCCAGGAGCTTGGCAAGTCCAAAATCTGACACTTTGGCATTCCAGTTTTTGTCTAAAAGAATGTTACTAGATTTTATATCTCGGTGCACAACTTTGGGTTCTAAGCCTTCATGCAAATAGGCTAGCCTGTTTCATAATGTAGAAAAATTAATTGCCTTCAAAGAACATTTAAGGTAACATAAATGGAACAATCATGGAGCATGATAACATTAGTCTGAGAAATACTTATTGCGCAGAGACATCTCTCCCTTGAGGAGCATTAAAAATATAATACAATTTTGGGAAGGATTATATTCATAAACTTTTTGTTTACAAACTCAATTACGTATTCCGGAGAGTACAAATACTTGAATGTGTACTTTCCGGAGTACATAGTTGAAGTTGTAAGAGTTTGAAAACAAAAAGTTATAAATAAAACTTGTCCCATACATCTTAAGGAAAGGCAGGAAATACAATATATATAAACATCTTACAATAAAAGAAAACAGGAAATTCAATAAACATTAAACACACCCTTTTGCAGTCGCAATGGCAATTCTCATCCGAACATCCCATGTCAAGGGGCTAACTGGTCCTACATCACCATGCAGCCACTGCTCCAAATTTCCGTTGTCAACATATTCATAAACAAGCATCCTGAACGATCAGTGAAATTGCCATTAAAATAATTTAGAGGAATTCCGAATTTTCAACATCTGAAAAACCTTAAATCAAAAGAATAACAGTCATGTAAACAGAATAATACCTTCGAGCACCTTCCGCACAATATCCTACTAAACCAACCAAATTCTTATGCCTTACTTTTCCAATGGCTTCGACCTCCACCTTAAACTCCTTCTCAGCTTGACCCCTAGTCATGGATGATACAATAAAGTACATGAATTTTCAATTTAAATTAAAATTTTCTCGGGATTAATATAGTATCCTATGTAAAGCCTGGGTCAATGCAGCAATTATGAATAATACAATAAATAAACGAAAAAGTTAAAGCAAAGAGAAAAGTAACATTGCGCATGCCAACAAGAAACAGTTCAAAACAAACGCTAAGCACATTGTTTCCCCGGTTGAATCATTCTCATTATTTAAAAACTGCATCCCATTTTACAGGCATACAGAACAAGAAACAGTTCCTTAAAAAAATTTCCTTGTACAAATATATAAAATAAATAAATAGAATATATCTCAAAAAACAGTGGGAAAAAAAAAAAAAGTTGCACAAAATTGTTGCAGAAATCCTAGATGTTCACAGAAAAAGAGAAAGTGCAGCAAATTCAGGAAACAGTAACATTCAGCAGAACAAACACAAACACAAAAAGGACCAAAATTAGAAAAGCTTTTGACATGTGACGACAACATACTTGTTGTTGAGAAGATTCTTAACAGCAACCACAGAACCATCTTGCAAAACTCCTCTGTACACAACACCATACCCTCCTTCCCCAATCACATTCCCTTGATCAAATCCACGCGTTGCAACCTCCACTTCCTTCAGACTATACCAGCGACCCCAACCTATGTTCGGATCCTCCACAGATAAATCATTGCAGTGAACCCCACCAGACATGTCACTCTTCCTAATCTTTCCAATTTCGACCTTGATCTCCGCCTCCTTCTTCGGATCAACGTCAACATCTTCAATCTCAATCTGCGTTTGTTCAGAGGCATGGTTGAGATCCAAGGATTTAACCACCACGATCTCCTTGGAGACCAAAGGGATTGTTCCGGAGCTGTGCTTCTTCACTAGCATCTTGTGCTTCTTCCAGCTTCGGCTTCCGCGAAAGCAGAGGAAGATCAGGACCACAATTACAACAACGATGAAAATGAAAATGCCAACTAAAACGAGAAGCTTCAAACCCGCAAGTGAGGTTGTGGCGCTGCCGGAATCCGCCATTGGCGATAAAAAAAATTTATTTTTTCTCGAGAAAGTTGTTCAGAGCGTTTGGTAGTAGATGAGAAAGTTCTAATTTTATGATGACAGAGTTGCAGTTTTTGGAGAAGTTTTTGAAGTGTTGAAAAGAAAATTAAAAGAAGGGAACAGAGGCCAGTGTTTGTTGAGAAGAGTGAAAGTGGGGTTTCAACGGATACAAAATGCGAGAAACAAACGAAAGAGGTTTTCGGTCGTTGTTTTCTGGGTTTGGCGTAGGACCATATTTACGGGGATGCCACTCTTTTGCTGAGTGCTGTGTCCTAGTGCGTCAAAACCGTTCGGAATTGTTAGGTAATTAGGGAGCTTCATTATTACATGATTTTATGTGTGGTCCATTTAGATTAATTAATTAATGGGAAAAACTAATATTATGTTGTAGAAAAATTCTTAAGTCATGTCATAAAGACAATTAATCGTGGGATTCATTATTTTTAAAATAAAAGAAAAGTAAAAGAATTGATGGACCCAACTTTATGTTTGTGTAGAAAAATTGTTTGTATTATGTAAAAAGGTGAAAACATTACCCTTGATGGAATTTGTTGTTTACAAAAGTAAGGGAGTAAAAGCAACTCAGCTTTCAATCATCCGTATAAATGTAGGGAAATACACTTCTCCTGTTGTTGAGAAGTGTATTTCTCCGGCTGTCTCAGTTCGAATTTTGTGTTTTTATTTTTTATTTTCAAAATCTTGTGAGCTTCACCAAATTTTATTTGTGCTGAAAATTTTCAATCTCTCCTGTAACAAGAGAGATGTTAAGCCCATAAATGTAATCTATTGTAGCGATAAAAAAACTGTAGAGGTAACACTAATTCTTATATGTATTTAATATTTCTTTCCTTTTCATTTTATTGCACTTTGAAGTAATGCTGACATATGTTTGATGCATAGTTTTTTTTTTTTTTATATAAATTAGTCGTATTGTTTTTATAAAATCAAATATACTAATTTATAATAATCATTAATCATATACGATATTATACTATTAGTCAATTTTATTTTTCATGTAATTATTATCATAAGCAATATATTTAATTATGTAATAGGAACTGATTAGAGGATAGTAATAATATTATATAAAATTTATAGGAGAAACATCCGTTTACAAATTTTTTTTGAATTTTTTTACAAATTACATTATGTTCTCCCAATGTTCTCCCGGGAGAACATAGTGTAGTTTGTAAGAGTTTATAAATAAAAAAGTTTGTAAATATAACCTGTCCCAAATTTATATTAAAAATCAATTCCTATTTTGTCTGAAATTTTTATGTTCTCACCTAGAAATATTTGTGTCTCAACTCCAATTCCACCAAGCAATAGTCTTTTGAATATATTTTTTATTGTCGTTTATGTTTAAAAATAAGAAAATCTCCACATGTTAGGTATCCCTGTTTATTATATAAAGACTTTGAATGAGTAGCTTAAGAATATTAGTTATGAAACATTTAACACCTCTTACTTAATACTTTAATTTTTTTCATTTAATGCCTGTTAAACCAACTACTCTTGATGTTTTTATTCCATGTTTAATACTTTGGGCTTTGAATTGGAGCCAATGAACTACTTGGATGAATAATGTGTCTCAAATTGTCTGGATCGTGATTGCACGTGAACGTGATTATCAAACGTAACGTAACTCGCCACCAAATGATTTTTTAAGCAATGCAAAAATCTCTTGCTTGACAATTAATTTCACCAGCATATATAGCTAAAAAACACGAGTGAGTTTTGGATTTGGTTCATTTATTAACTATGTAAGATTAGCATGGGAATATGGGATTTGCTTCAGTTATGGAAACTTACTAAAACGAAGTTTAAAATCCAAAATATACGGACTGACATTTTTGTCAGTTTTAATGGGGGAAAATGCAAGTTTAGATCTTTTTTTAGGAGTAATTTATCTTCACGATAATGAATAGATAGATGATATAATTTGTGTGTCTCCACCCAAGCTAGGTAGCTGTGTAGGTTGGCCAAGTAATTGCGTTTGGCTCCAAATGAAATGCAATATATTAATGGGCAGCGCCATTGGTAGCAACGTACCTGCCTTCTGCTGGTTATTGAATGTTTTCAGAGAGAAATTGCACTCACATGCATCGATCATGTTTTCAAAATAATTCTAATGACAATTGATTTCACCTACATATATTGCCATTGGTGATGTTTAGGAGCGTAAATGGGCTAGGCTGGCCTGGCCTAGCCTACAGCCCAGCCTACGTTGAGCCTGCCTAGCCCGACTTACGTTGAAAAGTAGAGTAGACTTAGGCTTACAAGAAAGCTTTTTTAACAAATAGGCCGTAGGCCAATTTTGTCAAGTCTGGTCTAAAGCCTTGTAAACTGGCCTATTTAATTTTTAAAAATAAAATAAAATATTTATTTTAGGTGACAATTAGTACCAACCCTTGTTGTGGTTTAAAGATATTTCAATGAATGACATTATCTTGTAGACTTTATTTGAGCTTTGATTGACCTAATAATTGTATTTTTTTATTTTTCCTATGTCTTTGACTCTACTCCTCTCTGATATACATTATAGAGTTGAGGTATTATGTTGACTCTTTCTTGTTTGTCATTTTTTATTTCTTATGAGAAGTACTAGTGCATGTATGAATGGAACTTTGTTCAGTATATTTTTTTAGTTGTTTTTTTTACTTTTGTAAAATATTTAATGTTCACTAGTGAAATTTATATCTCGTGTAAAAAAATGCAACAATTTATGAACACGTTAATGACTTATAATGTCAAGCGAATATTTTAAAAATTGTTAAAAATAATTTTAAATTTTTTAAAAAATATATCACGAGAGAGGCCTACAAGGCCTGTAGGCCATATCAGGCTCTCTAATTTTTAAAAATGAGCCAGGCTTGGCTTATAAATAAAGTCTTTAGTAGGCCAATAGACCATATAGGCTTAATATTTTTTACGTAGGCTTAGGCCAGAAAGGTCAAAGCCCAACCCAGCCCATTTACACCCCTAGTGATGTTCATTTATGGGTGTTACTTTTCTCATGGATAAAACCAAATTTGCTTGCAGGCTCATGCTTTGGCGTGGCTCGCAACTAAAAAAAAAAAAATACTTTTATGATCATCAACAAAAAAATACGGAACTCATTTTAATTTTTTAGGGAAAAAATGTCGATTCATGGTCCTTATGAAGTTCCAGTTTTTTAAAATTGTGATCTTTCAAAAATTCAAAGAAGACTCACATCAATCTTTCAAAAAAGATTAAGATACTTTTTTTTAAAAGATTAAAATGGTTACGTATTTTTTGTTGAGGATCCAAAAGAGTATTTACTCAACAAAAAAAAAAGATGGATGCAAAAATTGAAAATTGTGTAAGAAATTGGTTTTCTTGTCCTTCCACTTATTTTACCTTTTATTTAAGAGTTTGGTGTTTGTCATTTTAAATGACGTAAGTTATGTCATTTTAGGAGAGAGATAGACACATAAAAACGGAAATCATGGGAGAGAGAAAGTGGGTGGTTTTTTTTAATTTAAAATTCGAATTTTCTGTATCTGTATCTCTCTTAAAATGACATAACTTTCTGTCATTTAAAATGACAAACACTTTTTCCTTTATTTAATAAAAATATACAAATAATCTGCATATGATTTAAGGGTTGTTTCCTTTACCTGCGGTTTAAAAGAATGTTACTCCTTCTGTCTATGTTTATATCTGATTTTATTTTATTTTTGTAGTTTTTCTAAACAAATGAAAGGAATTCAATGAACAAAGATATCTAAGTTATAACTCATGAACATAAAGAGTATATATAGACAATAACCTGATATGGGTTTTACAGTTGTTATTATTAAGATGATTTATTACATATGAATGTTTTGACCCACGCCAAATGTAATGATTTCCAGCTTCAGTGCATATCCGTGCATGTTTCACTTAGTTGATATTGTTGTCCGGTAATGGCGCCGGTACCTACCATGTGCCACATTGCCAATAATGTGGTGAAAATAATTATCATTTTGACTATTCGAACAATACAATTACAGTTCACCCAACCACCAACTAGTTGGCTAGTTGAGTTAATTTTAAGAGGAGCAACCCAGAATATATGGGTCAACAAATTTGAGTTTCTTTCACCCAAAAAAGCAGTGTTATTAAATTTGATTCAGGGTATTGATCTGGTCGAGGTACTGAATTATTAAATTATTGATTGAATTGGTGAGTTATTGATCGGACCGGTTGATCCGGATATATATATACATATATATATATATATATATATATATGAATATATAAATTTAATTATATTCTTCATATTTAAAATGAATTAAATAAGATTCACTAAATAAGCTTAAAAATTATCTAATCACATTTTTACAAGTTCATGAAGCACAAATAAATGAAAATGCATGTTATTACTATGTCAATTTAAATTGTAACTCAGAATCCTCATAAGCATACATTGAAGATTGAACTCATATTTTTTAAATTCATCTATATTAAAATGACATATGTCACATTCTTTTAATTTATTATTCCGCAAATTAATTCAATATTGGAAGCTAAAATCTGAGGTCACAAATAAAACTACAAAAAGTTTTTAAAATGAGTTCTACATTTTTTACTGACAAGATGAAATAATTTTGATTTTTTTTTTTTTTATAAAAATCCATGACCCGACCGAGTCACTGGTTTTGGCCGGGTTTGATCGGATTCGATACAAGACCGATCCCATACTTGATCCAAACCGATCCGATGACCGATTTTCCAGGTCGACCCGACTGGGTCGGACCGAGTTTCACAATGGTGCCAAAAAGTGAAGCTAGTTAATGTTTTCAATGATTATAGTATAAGTTTGGTGTTTGTCATTTTAAATAACATAAGTTATGTCATTTTAATAGAGAAATAGACACAAAAAAATGAAAATTATGAGAGAGAGAAAGTGGATGGTTTTTTTAATTTAAATTTTAAATAAAAAAATTTATTTTGTGTCTATCTCTATCTTAAAATTACATAACTTTATGTTATTTAAAATGACAAACAGTTTTCCCTTAGAGTATTATTTATAAACTTGGGTACTTTGTTTAGAAGTACAATTTCTAAAATAAGCTTCCAAATATTTATTTTATTAGCTATTTAATAAAAATTTATAAATAAAAATAAAAAATTAAAGATATCTAACCACCCACTTAAGAATTAAGATACGACATTGTAAATTTGTAATATGGATAGTCACGTGTAGATTCTTTGATACTGGTATCAAATTTTAATTTTGACATCTCATCTGAGAGTCGTTAGATCAAAAAAGATCAACGACTTTGATTTGCAAGTATGTGATACCATTAATCTTTTTTAATCTAACGACTCTTAGATGAAGTATCAAAATTAAAATTTGACACCGATGTCAAAGATCCTGCCTCTCGGCACAATAGCAATTCCAATAAACTTTGGTTCCGGTTTTTCGTCATCACAAAACTAGCTTTTCATCATCACAAGCCCGATTTAGTTTTTAAGCTCACTGGGTTAGGGCTACGATATCTACGTTAGAAAGGTAGGAGCCTTAGACAAGAAGGATGGATGAGTGACTGAAACTCTGAAAGTCTGAAACGCATAAACTCAATTGAATTGCAGGCCCAATAAAACTACGTTATCCATATCGCCGTTGCATTATATCTTGTCATGTTGTGCCTTTACAATTTATTGGTACGTAGCATCACTTTTTAGACGTGGCACCACATGATTGTTTATTCGTTTATTTCTTAAAGGAATAATCGTTTGTTATTGTGTCATGTTACACACACAAAAACACTGTGAACCCCATTGTATAGTAAAAAAGCAAAAAAAGTTGAAGTGAGCCCCATGCTATATTGAATATGTAGAAAAGTGGAGATTTTTCATGTAACATAACACTTGTAAATGTTATTAAAGGACAAAACTGACGAAGCACCATCGAATACCAGTTTTGGATAAGGTTTTGAATCTTGATAATAGAATTCAGTGGGTAGCCCCACCCTAGATAGGTCCATTTCATTTTTAATTAATTAATCTTCATTCTCTTTGTTCAATCTTATCCACCCTGCTTGTAATTAAACTTTCAAGATATGCATTTCACTGCTCATGATGGATCATTGTGTTTATGTCTCCATTTTTTTTTTTTTTTTTGGTAAACAATTATTGTGTCTCCATTTTAATCTAATCAATTCATTAATTGACAAAAATTAGAAACCAAAATTAGAAAAAGAAAATATAATCCATTTTTAAGAGGAAAAACTAAAAAAAAAAAAAACAGAGGAACGAAAAAATCCACTTATAGAGACAAGAAAAAAAAAAATATAGTCCATTTTTGAAGTACCCATAAAAGAAGGAAACCGTTCTCTTCTCCCGGAAATGATTCCCACCGCCAAGAAGAGGCAGCGCACCATCGCCACCGTCACTAACTCCTCCTCCTTCTCCGATACATCCCTAACCGAAATTTCCCAAAACCGCCACCGTCATTCTATGAGCACCACCGGCGACGTCCTTTTCTTCAACGACGCCTCCACCGCTGACGTCGTCCTCCGCCTCTTCATCGACGCCGTCGAACCCGTGTCGATCTCCGACCTCCACGTGTACCTCCACTCCGACATCCTCCGCCGCTCCAAATACTTCTCCGCCCTCTTATCTGACCGGTGGATCGGCCAGGTCCAGCCTCATCCTCCGCCGCCGGAAAATTCCTCCTCCGACCGCGAATTTTTCCGGCTCAATCTCGGAGTTCCGCCGAATCCTGGTTCGATTCAGTCGCATCTCACGGTGCTGGAACTGCTCTACACGAACGACTTCGCAGACGTCATTGACAGCGTGTCCACCGCGCTGGATCTGCTTCCGGTTGCGCTGGAATTGCTGTTCGAGGAGTGCGTTCGTTCGTGCGTGAGTTTTCTGGAGGCAGTGCCGTGGACGGAGGACGAAGAGAAGAGAGTGCTGAGCTTGATCCCATTCCTGAGCGAGGAAGAGTCTAAAGAGCTTGTCGCTAGGGTTTCACCGGTTGGGGAAGATTCGTGTGAAGTGATGCTGCAAGGTTTGGTTTCGTCAGCGATGAACAATTATCAAAACACGGCGTTTGTGAAGGCGTTTGTGGGGAAGATATTGAGGGACTTGTCGTCGAGGGAATCGGCGAAGAGGGTGTTGGAGAAAGCGTTTAAAAGGAGCTTGAAGACGGTGAAGGAGTCACTGGAAGACTATTCGAGCCCTGTGTTCAGAGGAGACCACAATGAAACGGAAGCGATTCAGAGGTTGAATCTGCACAAAGCTTCCACTAATGGGAAGCATCTTTTGTGGTTAGTGGAGAGGATGATTGAGTTAAGGGTTGCTGATGCTGCAGTCAAAGAATGGAGCGAGCAAGCGCCTTTCACTGCTGATTTGCAGAGGGCATTCCGCGATGATGCCTGGAGGAACATTGTGCCTGGCCTTCCTGCTGTCATGCTTCGATGTACCTGCAAGCTTGCAAATGCAGTTAGTTCCGGCACCATTTTGGCTTCTAGACAGGTACCTAACTATATAACATAGCATTGCATCTTCAATTTGTTGGTTTTTTTTTTTACTTGCGTTGTTCTACTATCATCTATGTGAAATTCCTTTGTTAGTGCTATGACTTCATCTCAATGTGTCATGCTATGGTCGTCTTCTAGTTTGAGTTAATTTACGTGGGTTATTGTTTATAATGATAAATTTGTGGGAGAGTCGAAAAGGATCGAGTATTCAATTCATTGCTTTCGTTCTCTGAATGTACCTCTGGTTAACTTCCTAGTGTTTGATTTAATAAGGGGACAACACATTAAAAAAAAAGTAAAATTGTATTTGTTTGATTGTTTGATTGTTTGAATATATAAGGAATAAAGAAAAAGTAACTCAACTGATAGCAGAAATCTCTCAATTTTTATTACCCACTAAATAAAGGGAAAAACATATATCATTTTAAAGGATATAAGTTTATATCTTTTTAGATCATAACCGTTGATTTTCGTCCATCAACGGTTATAATCTGTTGGGCCAAATTTATTATTAATTAATTAATAATTTTAATCCAATAAATTATAACCGTTGATGGACGGAAATCAACGGTTAGGATTTAAAAGGATATAAGTTTATATCCTTTAAAAGGATAAATATTATTCCCCTAAATCAAACATAACCTTGTTCATAAAACAATAAGAGAAAAGGAACAGTATGCACTACCTTTTCATTATCCGACTCTATTGTGTGCAAAATAAACACAACAGGTATTATAATGAATTTTGTATTATTCCATCCTTGGATTAAAAAAAATTAATTGTGTGCATTGGTCATCAAACAACTAGCAACCCAAAAAATTGTTCTATGACTCAATCACTCGAGTTCATCTAACACAACTTTTGTGTCAATAGTAGGGAAGGGGTTGATGCATGATAAGAGCAGACTAGTTTTCTAAAGAATGGATAATTTTAAAAAAGTCAAAGAATGATTCTCAAAGAAAACAGCTTTCCTTGATTCCCCAGCGTATGTGGATTTTTTCGTTAAGAACCGCATGTCCAGATGTTCTGTTGTGTATGAGTTGTAGACTGGATTCACTGCGTTGTTTGGTAAGAGACACTTTTCAGTTTTCTACTCCTAGAAGTGTTCCAAGTTATGAATACGATATGACTTTCTTAGTTGTAAAAATAGCAGTGCTGTTAAAGGCACCAAAAGGTGCGCCTGAGGTGACAAAGGGGTTAAGTACCTCTTTATGGTTGAGGCATCGCCCCTTCAGTGGCGCCTGCCTTTGGCACCTTAGTTGTGTCATGTAGTTTGCTAATTGCAATGCCATAGGGTAAAAAAGTTTGAATGTTAAAAAATAGCTAGCTGTGGAAATATAGGTTTTATGGGATTGGGTTTTTGAAATTGAACAATTTAATCTTTTATTTTTATTATGAATATTATGCTTGAGCAGATAACTTATATGTCAAAGTATTGCCAAATTGTCTACTATTATTATGTTTTCTTCTTTTTCTAATGGTGTCTTATTTTACTTTGGTGCCTTCACCTTTGCCTTTGTCTTTGTCTTTTTGAATAAAGGTTTTACATACCATAATTTGAGGCTTTTTTTACCCTTGTAACCTTTAATTAATAATTAATTACCAATTTGACCTTCATTTGAAACTAATTCAAAAATTTAACCCCTTCAGAAAACATAACACCAATCTGCCCCTGTTTGACCGTTGACCATGAAGCCTACCCGGGTACACTCCTCCCTACCCTGGTATTTTTTGAAATTTTTACCTACCCGGGTAGAGAGGGGTGTACCCGGGTAGAGTTCTTGAATCTGGAAAAATGGTTGAATTAGTTACCCGGGTAGGAAGGGTTGTACCCGGGTAAACATCAAGAGTAGGGTTTTTATATAACCGAGATACTAAAAAGTTTCTTTTTCCAATTCATATTCTCCTCGGATTTATATTTCTATCAGGTTAATGAAAACGCAAAAAATTGAAGCACCTTCTGATTACAGAAAACAAAATGAAATTAGTAAAAAATTAATACAACATTACCATGTAATTGTATCCCCTAGTTTCTCTAATCTTCCTCAACTCTTCATCGTTCTCATAATCATTTGGGTTCAGCTTCCAGTATAAGAGTCCCAATTCTACAAAACTCACCATTTTTCTGCAACGTCACAACTAAGTAAAACTATAGATAGATAGAGAGAGAGAGTAATGACCTGCTAATTGGTTGATGGAAACAAATTCATTAGGGCTGCCATGGTGAGGAAGCCTTGGATCTTCGTTGCTATCGTCCATGAACCATGCCTGTCACAGTTTTTTTCATTTATATAAAAACGCTACTCTGGATGTTTACCCGGGTACAACCCTTCTTACCCAGGTAACTAATTCAACCATTTTTCCAGATTCAAGAACTCTACCCGGGTACACCCCTCTCTACCCGGGTAGATAAAAAATTTCAAAAAATACCAAGGTAGGGAGGGGTGTACCCGGGTAGGCTTCATGGTCAACGGTCAAACAGGGGCAGATTGGTGTTATGTTTTCTGAAGGGGTTAAATTTTCGAATTAGTTTCAAATGAAGGTCAAATTGGTAATTAATTATTAATTAAAGGTTATAAGGGTCAAAAAGCCCATAATTTGATGTTTCCTTTCCATTCGAGATTGATTTTTAATGATGTGATTCGCATGTCTTTTCACATGTATTCTTGTTAAATTTCCTTATATATGCTATTAAGCGTAGACAGGCAGATATATATTTTTTCCTTATTTGAACGGTTGCATGTTCATCAGCCCTATATTACTACAATATTCATGCCTATTTCTTTGCTCTGTTCAGGTGAGAAAGAAACTCGTAGAAGATTGGCTTCCCGTTTTGGTTGTATGCAAAGACAATGTTTCACCAATATCACCGAGCAACAAATCGTTATATTTGGAGCTGGAAGAAATATTTTTGCGAATCATCTCTACATTGCCCATGTCAGATGCTCAAGAATTGTTGCAGCAGTGCCTCAGCTTTTCAACCCGAAACGTTGAAGATTGTCCTCACTTGGTGACGGCATTCAACACCTGGTTCCGGCGTGCAGCCCAACCCCTCAAACCAGATTGTCTCTTTGATCAATGAGAGGTCTGTTTTGTTGTGACTGTTGGTCGGCTTGTCTAATATTGTGCATTTGTGTATTACTAACTTCGTCTTCAGAAAGTTTAACATTGTACATATAAATCGACACTTAAGACCTTACCCTTTAGGATGGTAGACGTAGCTGTTTGCATAGCTAGTGGGATCCTTGGAATGCGGTGCTCGGGAAATTATAGGTCAAAATGAAAATACCAGCTTTGATTTGATCCTTTGCAAATAATTTTTTTTTTTTACTTACACTTTTAAAACTTTATAATGGTTCCTTACAGCTCTGAAGCACGGACTCGTCCATTTTGGAAAAAAATGCGTGTCCGACACGTGTCGGACACGGACACGTTAGGACACGTTCGGACACGCGTCCGACACGTGGTCAACTTTTTGGGACACGTTGACTAGAGGGACACACGATTTTGACCGAATCCGACACGCGGTCAACGTATTTGGACACGTTTTGGGACACGTTTTGGCATTTTTGTAAAAATCAAAAAATTACAATTTAAAAAAAAGAGAAAATATTGCGATGAACCCTTCTGTCTTCGGTCTTCACTCTCAGATCTGTTAAGATCGACGTGTAAAAACGTAGATGCGGTTGGATCGGACGATCCCATGAAGAAGAGTCGGAAAGGAAGGAGTTGCTGTTGTCATCGGCGACCATCATTGGAAGAGAGAGAGAAAGTAATCATCCATATAGCTCGAAGGAAGAATACTGTTCTTTCTTAAGAGAGAAAGTAATCAACCATCCGATCGATGAAAGGTTTTTTTTCATCCAAATTGCAACAGAACAAAATCCGTATAAGAGAAACAAAGGAAAAGGCAATTAGATGATTCAGGACCGTGTGATAAGATGATTCAAGAAAAGGCAATTAATCTGTGTGCTTGTTTTTAATTGGTTCGTTCAGAAAGTCAAGGATTGCCAGCATGTCGTTTATTTCCTTTGTGTTTCTTTTGTGTTTTGTGTTTTGTAAAAGATTGGGTAATTTGTGTTTTTTTTTGTAAAAGCTGTCTATTTACAATATTTTTTATTTCCTTTCCAGTACTGGTTTAGAGATTTTAATAAAATCAATTTTAAAAAAATATTTACAATATTTTTTATTTTGAATATTTGATTAGTTACGTGACTTATTATGGGTTACTATATATATTAAATGTAAACTATATTATATATATTAAATATATTATTTAATATCAAAACGTGTCCCAGCGTGTCGAAATTTAGCATTTTTCAGAATTAACATGTCGGAGTGTCGTGTCGTGTCTCGTGTCCGTGTCCGTGCATCATAGCCTTACACCCAAAACATTCCAATTTTACGAACTTAACAATTTTAAATGAAGAACATTTATTCATATGAATTAAATTTACACCAATTCTTAGCTTAACTACAAAAAAATTTTAATGATTACAAAGCAAAGTTGTCAAACTCGATAAATTAAGTAAATGTGAAGTTCCACCAAACTCAAACGATAAACTCAACTTGCGAGTCTAAATATTTAAAAATATTATTTGAAACTCACATCTTAGTAATCAACAAATGAAAATAACATACCCATAAGTTCCAACCTTCTAATTTTATAACAAAGAAAATGACAGATATAGAAAAACGTAAAAATACTTCTTCCAACTGTTATACTTAGCCATGCATAACAAAAATTGTAAATAAAACAAAATTGACACAAAGACCTAACACATTTGTAGAATAAAAATCGCTAAAACTGTGCATTTTGAGACTAAAACTGTGTAGATTCAAGTTCGTGAACTCGTTTGTAAAATCGAGAGTTCATTAATTTTGCTAGAGATTACTTGAACACATACAAGTTTGACCAAAAAGGAAAAAAAAAAGGAATTTACATGGGAATTAACACATTGATGTGTTCTAAGATAGTAACTCGAGTTTAACAACTACGATTACAAGAATTAGCCCATCACATATTAACAATTTAGCGGACTTAATTACAAAGTAATTTACTAAGGTAGTGTTTGGTTCGGGACATATGAAAATTATCCCATCTAAGTGTAAGTGGGTTTCCTGAAACTCCACGTTTGGTTGAGGACAAAGTTTCCCTTAGCCATCATTCCTCCTTGCCTAGCTATCGACAAATGAGTGTAAAATGGAAGAAAATCTCGGATTCACTTGCCCTCTCTCACCGTAGTGTTGTTGTGAAATCCGTTTTGATGGAAAAAGGAGATGGAAAATAAGACAAGTTTATCCCCTCGTAATCAACAGGTCAAGAGTATGTTTCAGTTTTCAAGCCCATGGATGAGGAACCAATGGTTGTGAACAACCCACGAGATTTACCAAGTTCATCCAATGGTGAAGGTTTAAAAAGAGGGACAAAGGTGGGAGAAGGAGCCTTGAGGGAAGTTGCAGCTTACATATTAGATCATCCAAGAAGTGGACCACATTTGGTATCAGGTGAAGACATTGGAGGTAATTGTGAGGACATTGGACCTACGGCATTTCCAGTGGAAGATGTGCATAAGATTACTGTGCTTGATATAAGAATGGCTAATGTAGACAGGCGATGGAAAGAGTCAACGACGATAGCGAAAATGGAAGACAGAGACACGTTATGGTTCGAAGGTTGTGGTTCGAAGGTTGTAATGTTTTTACAAGGATAGTTTTGTAATTTAATTAAGTTTTTCCATCAATATTTTATCTTCAACCAAACACATATTTCAGAAATTTAATTCAATTTTCCTGGTAAAATTTTGCCCAACCAAACAATTTTTTTAAAACTTTCTTATCTAACTCACTTTTCCTGCAGTTCCGTAGTATTTACATTTCCCTAATATTAAAAAATTTCACCTCAACGAAACACTACAGGAAAGTTTGATATGGGTTGACTGCAAAAAACGATACAAGGTTGGCAATGATATCAGTTCGGTGCTCTTGCCCCAACAAGAGCTTTGAGGCCACTACTACTGGTGCTATACGCAATTTTAAAGGATCACTAACTTCTAATTCATTGCTTCGTGGCTCTGCCAAAGTGTTCTTAAGATCCTTTCTAGGTTTACTCTCTACGGGTTTTCAACCACAAATCATTCAAGTGTTGTCGGGCCACAAGCAGTTTTGAAACCCCAGTCAACTTCCACTCAAAGATTATTTGATGAATACGTTAGGAAATAAGGTTGAATGTTTGATCCGCATTCCCTATCAACATGCTTTTTTTATGAAGAAGATTGATCACTTTTATGCGTCAATCTCAAGCAGTGGATAGAGAGATTCCTAAAGATTGAATTGTAAGGTACCCAACTAATTGTGAGGGGGATGAAAATATTTTAAGACGACAGTGTGTGTGTTTATACTCCTCTTGTACTTGCACCATTCAAACAATAAAAGAAAATGAAAGACAATTGACTGCAGTAGTTAATTTCCTCTCGTAAATTGTCATAAAGGAAAATGCAAAACTTAATTATTATTATTATTTTTTAGACTGTAGATAATCATGCCACATATCTTCCAAACTTAGGTGGAAGACGACCTTCCTCATGGCCAGCTGCTACCATGGATCCTGGCTTGCTGCTCAAGGCAAGGGAAATGAATTGAGAAAAGTCATAGAAACTCAGACAAAAATCATTTTGGGTTCAGTTTCCCCATACTTGATTCAAGGTTCAATGTTATGATGATGACTAGGACAATCAAAACTAATCCAATTCCCCCCTTAAATCAAATCATGTTATTACACCTGAATAAGTGGAGGATATAATTGAAAACTTCTTCCTTCTTTACTAGACATCATAACTAGTAGAGAATGGCACTAAAAATAAACTATATTACATACAGCAAACAAAGAAACAAAAAATTATACATCTAGATATATATCCAGCACTCAGTTGGACAAAACATTAACATGTTGTTTATCTATGGATCAAGAGGAGATGGACAAAAAGGTAGTTAGTTGTCTTTGGATCAAGAAGTGGGGAGTTTGAAGCTTAAAAAAAAGAACCAATTAGAATAGCCTTCTTCTAAAGTGGCGAGTGGTGCCTTGGTAGGTTTTAACAAGCAGGCCAACTCCAATGCCAACTCCTAGACAAACACTCAGTCCAATACCAACACCTACCCTAACACCAGCATTAAACCATGAAAGTTCTCCATCTTCGCCCTCTGGATATGCTGTTCTTGAGTACAGGCTGTTATAATCCTCTTCCTGTTTGTCGCTAAGGTAATCTGGGGCCTGCAGGATTAGCATGTAAAATATTAAGAAGGATGGTCTATAATTTACGAGAAAATAAAGTTCTTCAAATTCCGATTGGCTTGGCAATAAACTCTCCACATCTTGTTAGGGGAAGACATTTCAATCACTCTGTGGGCATGTGATGCTAATTAGCTAACTGCATGTGCTAAAGGGGGGGACCAAACTTCTTAAGTTAAGGACCGGACATGAATGATATCCTTTCTTGATAGATATCAACACAATACAGAAGGGAACAAGAAGATTTTAAAGAATGAAGGAAAACAAAACCTCAGAAACAGACCAAAGGTTATTTTCAGCTATATGTAGTTTTATTATGTTCCATCTGATACCAATACTTATATCTGTTAAACCATCTCTTGTTTCAAATAACTCAATGAAATTGCATTTAGGCAGTAAAAAAATAGTCAAGACAAGGTAAAAACAAGCATAAAGCTAACTTGGCTGATGAACTGAAATAGCATAAGAGGAGAATATAAGAAGCAGACCAAAAACATAATCAAAAGAGCAGTAACTACCTGAAAAGCAAGTGCTGAAGAAGGATCCTTCTCATTTTCACTTGCTTCATGCTCTGGAATTGCATCCAACACCCCCCTCCTTGTATATGTTTTATGAGAACTAAGCTGCAGGGTCTTTGTTAAGATAATTGGAGTACTCAAGAAGGACCCCGCAATGTAGACCTCAATTGTGGGGAATAACATTTGCTTCCCCTTAAAAAAGCTGGTGTCTGGAATTATATCTGACTCACAGTTCATGCTCCACCTTTGTCCATTATAACTTGATTCCCTAACAACACCATTGCTATTACATAATTCTAAAACCCCAGAAAGCAGCAGAACATTTTTATCAAACACCTCAAACTTCACACTACCACTCATCCTTACGCTATCAGTGCTTACAAATGTCACTTCTTCTGATTTTCTATCTACCCGGTCTCTTTTGAGCAGGGTTGACATCCCATCAGAATGTATACCAGAACGAACACCATTAACTTCAAGAAGGGTGTCAGGATTTAAAGGAATATGGTTTAGTGTAAGAAACTCAGGAGTGGAATCATCAAGCTCACACATGCAAACTCTTACATAAAATACCCTTATGTCCAGCGAAGGTAATGACCCCTTTATGGAGGGTTGATAAGAGTGCCTTGAAACACAGTATCCATTATCAGTTGGTCCATTTCCATTAGCATTATAAGAATTCTCCATAGCCAGAGAGTTTGTCATCCTCTCTCAATTTCTTTCATTTCAATTGAACCAAAGTCTTGTGCCAACACTGATCCACTGAAAAGTTAAATAGGAAGCTCAGAAGTCTGCAGCAACAAAGTGTAAATCAGCTCAATTTAGGGAAGAAAATCTGTACATTTGGAGGACTAAACGAAGGCAACCATCAGAAGTTTTATATATCAGCATAAGAAAGGAGAAGGGAATGAAATCTAACATAAAGAATAAAATCTCCCACTAACCTAAGAGCTCAACTAGATCCGTGCATAAATTATCAAATGAATAAAGAAGTATAAAATTAGCAATTAAGTAAAGCTCACTGCTACAATGAAACAAGCATACTTAGACACGAAACAATTTACTTTTGGGGGAGTAAAGAACCCAATTGAGGAAGATAAAGAAGACGACAACAACCCAAACTCAGTTTGATAAGATAACCATCAAAAGAAATGGTAATAGTAAACCAAAATAATAGATGGATTGACAAACCAAAAAGTATTTACAAAAATGGAAAGAAAAAAAAAAGAAAAGAAAATTAAGTAGAAAAAGAAAAAATTACCGAACCTGAAGAAAGAACAAACAAAAAGAGGATAAGAGGGAGTGAAGCAGATAAATCTAGAAACTCCTCGAATATATCATCTATTCGGTGGATAATTCTTCAGAAAGCAGTCTCTCTCTATCTATACTCCAATTCATACCAATTTTTCAATGAACAGAAAATTACACCATACCGAAGACAATCCACCAATATGCGAAAGAAAAACAAGAAATTCAAGCGTTTAACCACATCCATGCAGTGAAACAGATGGATCAAAGAAACAGAACTAATCAAAGAAAAATTGCAAAGCAAATGAATCTCCTCTCTAAAGATTTGGACAAAACAGGCGGCAATACACGACACACAACTCACGTCAACGGAACCCGACAAAACCGTCACTAACATAAAATGATGTAACGATGGAAATGCAACACCAAAATGAAAATCAATTATTTAAGGCCCACCCACCACCGCACTCACCATAAATATCTTGTGTCTTTAATTTTGCCAAAGAAAAATCGAATTTTGATTGTTATCTAGCAATAGACCAAACAAAATAATGCTTTTTGGTTCACACCCACAATTCGCTGACACGCAAAGGAGAATCTATACGAGTTCAGATACCAAACCCAAGACGTCCTCAAAATCAAATCCTCACAAACGAGGATTCTCCTTCTTTTGTTTCATCTTAGGATCAATCACAATTATGCCAAAATAACAGAACAACGCATATTCTGTGGAGAATAATCCCTCATAAGAAATCATGAGTTCTCTTCTCAGTTTTGCTACAATCTCTTTAGGTATAGAGAAGATGTAGATATTATTGTTATTTTAATGGAAGAAGTGGGGTCGCTCTATATATGATATTCTCAAGATCTTATCCCCGAGAGAGACTACGTTCGCAGTTTTACGTGAATTGAAAAGGATGTGCTGCGTCTCAAAGATTCGTAGGTGGATGGATTACTTGTAAAGTTGCAATTGCAAAAACATGTTTATGTACGCTAATTTTGTAGGAAAATTACGATTGTGTCTTTTTTCTTTTTTCGGAACTCGAATGAGTTTTCATTAAAGAAGACAAATTAACTCCTGATAAAGCTATATTACATACGTGTGATGGAGAAATTCTTCTGGCGACTGGCACGTTTTCAAGCACCTTTTTTTCAAAAAAAAAAAAAAAAAACACACTTCTCATAAAAAAAAATTCATAAAAAAAGTTTAAAAAATTTACTTTTTTCTAAAAGCTAAAAATTTTAATTTATAAAAAAAATAAAAGTAAAAAGTCAAATATTTTTTTAAAAAATTTAAATAACTTTATTTTTTTATAGAAAGTAATTTTAAAATAAGTAAGACATAAAATATTTTTTTTTTTTAAACTCATCCAAACAGAATACTAACTTAAATTTATAAAAGAAATATGGGCTGAATAATGGACAACATAGTTTCCACCCTTCCTAACACTTTAGAAAAAATTATAATACCTAAATGTTTCAGCAAGAGGTAAACAAATTTCCAATGCTGTCCAAAATAAAAATACACGGTAGTTTTTTTATTGAAGAGAGTAAATTACATACATAAAATTATGTTACAGCCGCAAAATCCTCCTATAATGGCTATTAGAAGAAATGTTGCTGCTGCTATTATTTGACCGTTATGTTATTTTATCTTGTTATTTAAGTTGATAAAGATCATTAGTTGTTATTGGAGCCTATCTTTAAGTCACTGGATAATTTTGGAACAGTGACCATTGTGTCACTGTTCCCACTGTTATTTACCTAAATGTCACGCACCTGAACTTTTTTCTCAAACTGCCACGCGGGCTAGTTTGCTGGGAGTAGTAGCGAACTAGACATGATGATGTGTCAGTAAGCTGCTGGTTCTCAAGTTCGCTTGTGTCAGCCGCGAACTTGGGTAATAAAAAGCCTGCAACGTATTTTGAGTTTGTTGCCTACGCAAGCGACCTAGATGGCACGTGTCTGAACCCAGACAAGTTCGCTGGGGGCCAAGGCGACCTAGGTGCCACGTGGCAGTTCCCTCGAAGTCCGCTGCCTTGGTCAGCGAACTACTTGTCGACAGCTACAGGTCGCTGGGCCATAAAGCGAACTCAGTGTTATATAATTTAGACCCCCTTCCTCGATCAGTCATTCATTCTCTCGTTCATTTTCAAAAGAAATTTTTTCATTTCTGTGTGTGAATTCTATTTTCAGTACATAATGAGTGAGAATAACAATGATGTAATATGCCTTCTATATTACAATGGGAGAAGATATTTTGGACCGAACGGTCAAGTGTTGAAGGAGATACGAAGATCTTCCGCATGAGTCCGCGTTGCAAATATAATGAGCTCAAGAAAATAATATACAAGAAGTTGAGATTACAACGAGGTCAATCCTTGTCTCGACTGATTGTTAGATGTGCTTCTGGTAACCCCGTGCAATGGGTTGCTGTGGAGGTGGTTGAGGATGAAGATGTGTCACTAGTAGTTGATGCATTTCGACAGCATGGAGAGTCCTCATACATCGAGTTATATGCGGAACTAAACAACGGTGGAGAGGCAAGCACTCAATGTTTCATCCCTACCAGTCATAACATGTCATCTAACCTAATGTGTCATAACATTAATCATAAAAATTATCTTACCCTAAAACCTATAAATAAATAACGCATATAAAACAATTTATTACATACATTAATTAAACAATATGTTATTTAACTACTAACATTAAAATGTAATTACTAAACTACTAATATTAAACTAATTAAAATAATAAAACAATTAAATTAAATAGATTAATTAAACTATAAAATATTTAACTACTTAAATTAACATGCAATTACTAAACTATTAATATTAGAATAATTCAAATAATAAAATAAATAATATGTCATCTAACCTAATGTGTCATAACATTAATCATCAAAATTATCTTCTTCTAAAACCTATAAATGAATAACGCATATAAAACAATTTATTACATACATTAATTTTACAATATGTTATTTAACTACTAACATTAAAATGTAATTACTAAACTACTAATATTAAACTAATTAAAATAATAAAACAATTAAATTAAATAGATTAATTAAACTATAAAATATTTAACTACTTAAATTAACATGCAATTACTAAACTATTAATATTAGAATAATTATAATAATATAATAAATAATATGTCATCTAACCTAATGTGTCATAACATTAATCATAAAAATTATCTTCTTCTAAAACCTATAAATGAATAACGCATATAAAACAATTTATTACATACATTAATTAAACAATATGTTATTTAACTACTAACATTAAAATGTAATTACTAAACTACTAATATTAAACTAATTAAAATAATAAAACAATTAAAATGTCATCTAACCTAATATTTTATGTTACATATAATATATTAAACAACAACTAATTAACAATAAAAAAAAATAAAAATTAATCAAATTATACATCACTAACCTCAAATGAAGACTTAAGACCAAATGTGAGAGCAAGGAAATTAAGAGAGAGAGATAGAGAATTAAGAGAGAGAGAGAGAGAGAGAAAGAAAATGGGGAGATGCGTATGAAAGGGAGGGGGTGTTTATATAGGGTGAAAATGTAGCCGTTGGGCACAGGTCGCCTGCGTGGACAGCGACCTCGCTTATGCCCGCCACGCGGCCTAGCTGGTCAGGCATTAATTGCAACAGAGGTCGCCTGCGTCAGTCGCGACCTCTCTTGCATGCACGCCACGTGGCCTGGCTGATCAAGCATTAATTGCAACAGAGGTCGCCTGCGTCAGTCGCGAACTCTGACACCACCAGGAAGCTGACAGCTCAGCATTACGAGGTCGCTACTACTCCCAGCGAACTAGCCCGCGTGGCAGTTTGGGGAAAAAGTTCAGGTGCGTGGCATTTAGGTAAATAACAGTGGGAACAGTGGCACAATGGTCACTGTTCCGATAATTTTATGTTTTATTGGTTCTTTGGTGTAAAAAGAGTCAAGGTCCTACACGTTAGAGGTAACAATTTGGGTTGAACTGAAGGGTCAACCCGACAACCCGGGACGGGTTGAGTTATACTTTGCAACCCACCAACTTACCTCAACTCGCTCTGATTAGTTGTGGGTCAAAACGGGTTGGCGATGGGTTGGCCCGCAGGTCAATTTTTTTTTTTTACTAATAGATAGTGTTTTATTTGTTACTAAGCTTTTGTGATATGAAATTTTTTTTATCTTAGTACTCCCCTAGAAAAATAAAGAAGAAAAACTTTATTTATTGCAAAGGTTATCCATATATTGAGGCAAAAATAAGTTCTTAAAAAATATTTGACTGAATATTAGTATATATTTAGGTTTAAGATTGGAGAAAAACTAAAGAAATTGTGAAATGAAAATAAGAAATATTATAAAATTAATAAAATATAATTTATTTTAAATTTTTAATTATTTTTTATTTTTTAGACGGGTTGACTCGCCAACCCACCACAAAACGGGGTGGGTTGATATTCTCAACCCATATCAAAATGCGGGTCGGGGCGAGCCGACCCGTTTTGCCACCTCTACTACACGTACCAGCTTGGGGAAAAAATTTAATATGCTTCAAGCCCACCACTTATTCAGTGGTCCCTTTGCCATAAATGAAAAATTTTCTTCCATTTCTATCCCTATCTTTTTGATTTTTCCCTCTTTAATCCCTCTTTTTTTCCTATTTTGGGAAGGAACTACCATGGTCCAGGTTCACAAAAAATCTTCTCCAACTTAAGATGCATCACTTCAAAAACTTGCTCAAAATGTGAAAGTGTTCAAAGTCTAATAAACTCGATATTAGTTGCACATACAACTAATGTAGAACTTCAAGTCTCGTACCTTATAAAGAATTTCAGCCTTCCACTATATCTCCGAGAACTAGTAAAAGATTAGTGCAAAGCCAGCTCGCATAGGTGCTAGGCTGCGGAGTGTGGTGAAATATTATGATTTCATTTGCAAGATATGGGACTTCAATTGATTGTATGGAAAATTAATGTGAGATTTATAAAGCCTTGAATACTCTTACCCTTTGAACTAATTTTTGAGATGATGTATCCCAAGATTCTTATGCTTCTACCACCAACTTGAAGAAACTAAACAATGTATAGCTTTTGAAATTAATTGGTTTGCTAGCTACCTTTACTCCATATTTTAACCTTTTGCCCATTGCCAATTCTCTACTCTCCTTTCACTTTTCAACACCAATGCTGATAAACGAATGCTCCTCAAATGTTGCTATTTATCTGTCCACAACCTGCTTCCAAAAAGGTAATTCTAGAAAATAATTTTGCCTTTAGAACTTTTATCATAAGTGTGTCATGATTTTTCAGCAATCTCCACCCCATTTTAGCTAGAAATGCCTGATTAAAAACCTCAAAAATTTATCTCCAAGGCCCTCTTAATCTTTTGATTGACATGGCTCGGACCATTTGACCCAGTGAATTTTCCTCTTCACACCCTTGCTCCCAACCAAAAGTTATTTATCATGGACTCAATGTGGCACATACCTTTTGGCAAGAGGAAGCACCCCCATTATATAAATTATGATAGATTGAGCTATCAATTTAAGAAGCACCTCTCTTTGGCACTCGGAACTCCTAACAAAGGTATGAAGGCCAAGATATTTCAAGTGGCTCTCATTCATCTGCTCTGTTCCCAAACAAGCATGGATTTTAATTTATTTATCAAAAAGAACATTTCAACTAAAGGAGAGTTTAGACTCGTCAAGGTTGACCTCTTGACCATAAGGTAATTGGTAGTCTGAGAGAATTTGCTTTATGCACTATCTTGGTTGTGGTAGTGTTAAAAAATAAAGTGCTGGCATCCATAAAAAAATTCAATACTAATGCTTATATATCTGTTGTGTGACAAATTAAAAATTCAAGAATACTAATAGTCAAAATTAAAATAAAATTATTTGTCAAAGAAAATATAAAATAAATTTATCATAATATATGAATTTATAACAGGTCAATTGATATGTATTGTAAGTGCAAAAGAACTTTCCATAAATATTTTGACCTATCACTCGGTACTATTTTCTCATTATTTAAAATAAAAAATTAAATAGTGACGTGTCGTTATATAAGGTAGTGTTACAATACATACCAACCAAATTGATAACTAGTGCTTTAGAGTTTCTTGTGAAACCATTTCCAGCATAAACTAAACCTACATTATGGCCAGTACAAAAAATCTAGCAATTCATGTGCACCAACCCAGAAAAGAAGATGATGCGTGTTGTACTGGGCCAGCTCATGAGTAAGAGACCAGATGGACTACAATTTACAGTTCGGAGGCCCCTCATATAAGGTAGGGAATATGGATGGATAAAGATTCCAATGCAATATGTCTATATGCTCCTCTTGAATTCGCTTTCTCCACTCTTATCTCGTCGGAAAGTAAAAAGTTGGAATATATTCAAGTAATACTATTGATATGGATGAGAAGGATTTGGAAATGGAGCCTTGCGGTACTTTCGTGACACTGCTGGGTTTTTCCCTACCTTCATTTATTAATTTACGTAACTCCCCAAAAAGTCGTTGCCATGCCTAAATAATGTTGATAGTTTATACTGAGATATTCTTGGATAGACATTACATAAACTGAGCAAGTTGGACAAAATGTACCGTATGACACTAAAACAATGTCAAATCAATTGACAATTTCTATCCTACACCATGCCGATTTAAATGCTTTCTAATTATTTTATTGATTAATGATTATATTCTATCTTGGCTCCTTCAATATTCGGTCTATCGATGTAGATCACACAACTAAAGATAATCTCTCTTCTTTTAATGAATGGGTAACAACATTGTATGTAGTATGTACCCATCAACCTAGAACATGGCTTAATAATATATTAATAAAGAATTGAATTCACCTGATAGTTGACCTGTGGATATATACTATAAAAATAGATAAAAGCGAGTCTTCAAAATAAATATCAGTTAGAAAAAAAAAAAAAAAAAAAGGTTCCTGGTAGGGATTTCTAGTCAAATGGGATGGATCAGAGTTCCGATTCACTATTTCTAAAGCATAAAATAATCTGGAATCTAAAAGATGGGAGGTGAAAGATGGTTCATCAAATATGAGAATCGTTACCTCAAATTACAATCTCCTGGTAATATATAGGAGGTTTACATTACTAAAAGAATAATATTATCTTTGAAACCAGATTGTCATGCTCCAAGGAATGATGGGAATCCAAATCATGTGACAGCCATAAGGGAAATAGGCCAAGAGGAAGATGTGAACCAACATTAACTCTAATGCAACCCAACTAGGATTGAAATGATTGAATCCTTTAGTCTTTGTCACCGAGGAACTGCAAAGTCTAGGACACATCAACCAAAAATATGGATTACAATCAGCAAGAGGAAGCAAAATCTAGGGGACTAAGTTTGAACGAAATTTTATTTTTCTCCCAGCAGACATGAAGAAGAAAGAAGTTTCAACAAGGGAAAAATCAGGAGGGCAATATCTAATTTAAGGAGAAAATGACCAGAATCCATTTTGTCCTCAGTGAAAATGGATTAAGTTGTCAGTACTTAAAAAAAATTGGTGGACTGTGTTTTATACACAACCAGACTAAGTTCTAATGACTAAAAATCCACAAACTATATCTCTCAAGGACCAAAAAGTGTATTTAAAAAAGGGACGCCTATCCTTGTATCAAGTTGTGGCAGACCCAACATTCATTTGTACAGCCATGCGAAAAATACTGAAATTGTCAATAAATAGGATGCTCATTCATAATCTCAAAACGATCAATTGAACAGGCATGGAACAACACAACATTCACCAGTCAAGTATCAAAATAATAGGAAATAAATTTCATCTATTATGATGGACCATCAATCTTTCATGTCATCCTTTGACCAAGCTTCATATTTACAGTGGAGTTAATGAATCTACAATCCCAAACTAAGTAGTAGATTCAACATCCATTGTCTATTTAGATTTTGCATAGAAGAAACTTTACTTTCACATTGCATGAATATTAATTTTTTTAACAATGCCAAGAATCAGTTATCTGTTTAAGAACATCAATGCAAGTCAAAATCAACATCTATAATTTCTTGATTATCAATGCAAGTAACAAATTATAATTATTACAGCCCCTGAAGCATCATTTTAACATCCCCAAGGAAACTTACTCTTATTGTTAATCCTTACAAACCCATTCAAGAAAATTTTGGACAAAGTGTAATTATCAGCATGTTGGTCATCTATTCCCAGGAAAATAAGGAAATTCAACCATACAAGTCTGCAGTTGGTGCACAATACAATAACCAAAATTTCAATGTTTGAAGTTCCTTTCTCATCCTAGGGTGAGACAGAAAAGAAAATCTATGATTATCACTTTTTCATTTTTTCTTTCATCTTGAATGGATCCAGCAGGCCTGTCACAATGTTTTTTCAAGTCCTATACAACAATGTAAAAGAAGATGTCAGGATGTGCATAAAGAAGACAAAGGTAATTACCATATTGGATGCCCATCTGATAGTAATACTACTATTAAGGAGGTATTTGGCACGTGCGCATTTTTACACCAGTATGGAAAATAACCTGGAATCCCGGATCTCTACATTTATAATGTCAACAAATAATGGGAATGTAGGATATTCATAAAGCTAAGAACTCCTTATTCCTAGATGTCCCATACATGTTTTAAACTTTTAAATTATTTTAATTTTCACACCAAACACGGTAGTCTTAAATTTCAGAGGATCTCACATATGGTGTTGCAACGCCGACGAGTTGGCCTGTTAACCTGCAATAAAACGAGATGGGTTGAGATTTTCAACCCACTTTCGTAAACGGGACAAGATGGATTGACCTGTTTTGTGGCGGGTTACCCGCTTTGTATAATGAATTCTAACTATCTGTTAGATTTTCTCTAATTTCAAAACATCTGATGATAATTTCTTAATTTCGTACTAAATGATATGCTACAGATTGACAATTTTGCTTTGGGCATAGATTCTTCATAGACTGGAACCATAGTATATCACTGAGGGGGTGAGATTCGTGATTCCAAGCAGTTAGAAGAAGTAAATTTAATTTTTATATTTTGTACTTATTTAATTTTATAATTCATAATTATGATTCCATTTTTCCCTCAATCTTTTCATTTTTATTATTTGGGTTCATCAATTGCCGACATCAATTAGTTTGGGATAAAGGTAACAATGATGTTGGATTATGATTCCGTTCCATGCTTACTCCATGTATCAAATATAAAAACACAAATGGATGACATTCCATCCCAGACAAAACCAAACACTACAACAGAAATGGGCATTCAATTCCAACCCAAATCTCTTTAACCATGCTTGCAAGAGAAGTGGGAAAGCTGATTTGATGTTCCGTGGAATGAGACTAATTTCCATTTCCTAACATAAACAATTTCTTTTAGAATTACAATTATTACTTTTCAATAAATTTCTATTATAAATTCTAATTATATTTTCAACCTAACCTTCATGCATTAAATCAGTTTCAAATATTATGTTAATAAGTGAAAAATTTAAATATATATATATATATAATAATGTTATATAGAGCACAATTGTCATCCAACGTACCATAAGTATGGAGTATTTATCCAAAACATTCTACACATGTAATTATTTTTTCTCTCACAATTGAAACAGTGTTTATCCTTTTTGTACCAACATTTTGTTATTAAGTTACTACAAAAACTGAGTTAGAATATGATATAGCAGAAAAGTTAACCTAATTCGATTTTCTCACGAGAATATTTATGACATTTAGATTAATTAGATTCAGTGTAGGAGACAATTGAGTTAGAATATTTATGCCATTCCATTAATATTCCGTTCTGTGGAATCATTTTATGGATCGTTGACATATACTCACTCTTTTCCTTCTCAGTGCTAAAAGACCATCTCAACAATGAGCATTGTGCAAAACACACAATTCAATACATATCCTTGAATTAGAAGCAGGGAAAGGAAAGTAGTACCTTGAGAAAGCCAGCTCCAGCAAGTGGAATCCAAGGCGATATTTGAAGTGAGCCTAGCATTAGCGATGGCGCTGTGAAGAGGCATCAAAGAACCAACGCTTCCAATAACCGTCAAAATCCTTAGAAACATACAGAGTCTCAAGTTAACGCCAGAATGCAAATCGATAAGAATAATTGAAATCACAGTGTAATGTACCTCGAAGCACGAGGGATGCGTGTTGCAGAAGGTGAAGATAACAGAAACGGAGTATTCGATGATTTCTGAGAGAAGCTTCTGGAACGATTAGCGAGTGACCTGGAAGCCACCCTCGCCACCGAAGCCATGCTAGCCATTGCTGTTACTGAACGGTTGAACCCTAAAAGTAAAACCCTACTACCAGTGTTTTAATTGTTATTGGGCTTGGGCTTGGGCCCAAACGAAATTGGGTATCCGGCCCAATTTCAGTGGTCTTCTACCTTTTCGCGTGGGGAAGGAACTTAACCCGAACCGAACCGTACCTATTCTGATTCATCGTACTGCGACGGCGCAAGAGGGGTGAGAATGGCGGAAGAAGCAGTTCTGGGTTACCTGGAAAACAACGATGAGATAAGAGATTCGGGTGAGTTTGCAAGTGAACGAGGTATTGATCACAATGAGATGGTGAATGTGATAAAGAGTCTTCATGGTTTTAGATACGTGGATGCTGAGGATATTAAGAGGGAAACATGGGTTCTCACTGATGAGGGGAAGACTTATGCTGCTTCAGGATCCCCTGAAGTTCAACTCTTTTTGGCAATTCCACCAGAGGGTATCTCTAGAGATGAACTTCAGGTTATTTATTTTTACCCTTCTCTGCAATTCATTAATTTTTGTGGAAAAAATTTGATTTTTTTATGTTTGGGGTGTTTGCAGAAAAAGCTGGATCCCTCAGCCTTCAAGATAGCTTGTGCCCAGGCTGCTAAGAACAAATGGGTGGAAATGGGGAAACAACTTATATCTAGAAAGGTATGTGATTGTTCAGTTTTGGTATTAATCTAATCCTAACAAGTGGACGCTATATGTTAATTACATTTTATTTTAAAGACATAATGTTTTGTTTATCAGCGTGCTTTGTTCTTTGAGATGGTAATAGCTTTATGATTTACGATATATTTTTCATGAGTAGATTTCTTGCTGCAGGTCGAACATGTGGATGACAGAGTTAAAGACCTGCTTCTGCAAATACAACAGGGACAGGTGTGTACTAGTATGAATATCTTTGTTAGTAAATTTCTTAGTCATGTTGAGAGGGAGGCAACTGTAGGAAGAACTGAGATTTTTTTTTTTTTTTGTTGGGTTTAGAGAGTGTTGTAACTAACGTTCAACTTTTTAGGATTAGTAGGAACTTTTATGAAAATTGAGGAGGTTAAATGTTAAGATATAGTTAACTATGTGAAAGTAATAAATCGAAAATAAGATAATAGAGATGTGGCCGCGTGAAGTATCATGTGTTTATTACAGTCAATTAACCTCTCTTTACCCTTGTTGCATTCAATTTTTTAAATAGGAGCCTATATAGTTACTAGTGACTACTCATGCTTGTTTGAAATCTTCTAATAACCTCTTCTTCCACCCCTAAATTTAATAGGAAATTTTAAGTTCACTTCTTCTAGCCTTATACTTTATATGCACATCCTTTTGGTTTCATGCTCTTGTTGATTAGAGCAGACAACAGGGAAGTCTCATTAGTTGATATCAGTCTTTTTTAAATTGTGTGTTTTGGCTATGCGCACATAGTCTAAGTCTTGGATTTGCAATAATACTTTTGGGAAAATGGCAAGGTTTTATATGGTTCATCATATTCAACTCAATGTTTGAGATTGTTACAGAAAGTGGGAAAGGGGGATTTGAGGTGTTTCATTTCTCTTAGTTATGAGGTGTACCTGCAGTCTAATTCGTGGGTGATTGGAAAACTGTTTTATGGACACCTCCAATTGTTTGGAGAGATTATTATTCTTGACCTTTTTGCTTCCACCTTATATAAAAAAATTTATAGGTTGCTTATTGTTGTCTTTATCAATTTTCCCTATGAAATTTGCATATCTCATTAAAAAATTTACAATTTGTTACAAATACAGGGCATTGGTTCAGATGATATCAAAGCACTCAAAGCAAGAAAGCTTATTGTTCCTCAGTAATAATAATTTCACTTGGCTGTGCTAAAGATTTTTTCAGATATACTGAATGTGCTGTGAAGGACTTGACTTTCATTCTTGATATCTTATGATCTAGGACATGGAAAGGTTACTCAGTGAAAAAGGGTCCTAACTATGCTCCAAAAAGAAAGAAGGTTGTCACTGATTTAACTCGGGATAATTTTCAGAGGTATTTTTTCATTTTTATTTTTTGCTTAAACTGAATGTGAGTGGGTATTGAAACCTCTGTATTGAAGCTTATACTTTGTGTAAGATATTTTTAGTGGATTTGAGTCATATTTTATGAATTCTGACTTCGTCATATTATTTTATGTCAGTGGTGAGTGGAAGGAATTAGAGTTCAAAGAGTACAATTACAGTGCTAAAGGTCAGCCTCTTGAGGGTGGTCATCTTCATCCTCTACTGAAGGCAAGGAGATATTTCCCCAATCCTTTCTTCCTCCTTTCCCAAACCAGTAGTATTAGTAAATACCCTTTGATATTTAGATTAAACAAATATCAATTTTGTATACTACAGAACTTTGCTGACATTAAAAATATCCATATTCGGGAAAACATGAACAGAAGCATTGTGTTTTTTTATATTTACACTTTCTGTTTGATATGGTGAGTTTTTACTATACTCTGGAGTTATATTAACTGAACAATACATGTGTTTATGTCTGCCTTTTTATGCATGTGTGTTTAGTAGTTCTTATATGTGCACTATACTATTTTTATAAAGTGAGTTTTGATTTTAACTGTGGTGATACTTTGATCCAAAAGAAAAAAAACTCTACCTACGTCTTGCATTGTTAACAATCTTTACATTGCTAGTCCCAAGCCAAAATAAATGTAGATTATGTTCGGCAGTCAACATCCAACGTAAAACTTTGTTGAATCTGTATTGGTATCATGTGGACAGACAATTTAATTCTGTTATTACGAAAATTTGTTTTCTGATATAGCACAATGGTGTCCTTTAATCAATGTAGTTAACCTCACCTAATGAGAGAAAGTTCTTGTTGTTTTTGTTGAAGATGCTTCTATGCTAAAAAAAAAAGAGTTTGATGATACTTCAATATTTAATACTTACTGAAATTTCTCTATTTCAGGTACGGAGTCAACTGAAACAGATTTTCCTCTGCATGGGGTGAGTCCTATTTTTGTTATGTGGAAGCTTGATGTCTTTTGTGGTAAATATTTGTTTAAAATTCCAAGTTTAACATTTCTTAATGTTAATATGGTGCTGCAGGTTTGAGGAGATGCCAACAAATAATTTTGTTGAGAGCAGGTAATTGTTGTTTCCATATCTAAAGCTTTTTAATGCCTCTGATTGAGATGCAGATAATCTATCCTTAGGCTCTCCTATCCTATCAAACAGAGAATTACATGTGGAATCTAGTTTGTAAAAGAAATACACATGGATTGTATAAATAACAATAAACTTAACAATATTATAGAATTAAAGAGAAAGAAGACTGTCAAAGTCTCAATGATAAAAGCTCTGTACTCATAGCCCTCCCCCCTTCCCCTCCAAAAGAAGCTCTGTTCTCTTTAATGATACTTACAAACAAGCTGTTGAAAATCAAATGTTTGGAAGTGTTTGCAGCCTAGTGCCTTTAAAAATTCCTTGGCAGAACTGAAAATTAAAGAAATTCCCAAGCTTTTGGATGGGGCTGGTAATTGCAGCCGTAAAATATAAATTCAGAAACCAAAAACTTTTGCATGCACTATATTTTTTTCTGTAATTTGTTTAATTAGGCCTTTGAATGATGGTGAATTGACTAATGAGGCTATTTTTCTTTTGTTACAATGATAGACTACCTCTTCTGTCCTTGGAAAGGTTCTTTTCAGCAGTGACTCGAGACCTTGAAAAGAAACCTTATTGTTCGGAACAATGCATTAGAACATCATAACTAAAGTAAACTTTAAAAAAATATGTATTTTCTGAATCACATGAATTGTATTAGTATTCTGCACGATCCTTTGATTCTTGGCTATATTTGTTGTTTAGATGCTAGGTTATCTTTAAAAGTATCGGAAGTTAACAGATTATACCCATTGTGTGTATGGCAAGTAGCAGTACATGTCTGCTCTCACCTTAAACTTTACGTCTGAATGTTTTAATTGGCAGCTTCTGGAACTTTGATGCCTTGTTCCAGCCTCAACAGCACCCAGCTCGTGATTCACATGACACATTCTTTTTGGAAAGTTAGTAAAACCTTATTTTTTCCATGCTAGTTTAATCTTCTATGTTTCCATTGAATACATGTGATGTGACACACACATCTGCAGCTCCTTCAACAACAAAGAAACTGCCAGAAGATTATGTTCAGAGGGTGAAGCAAGTTCATGAATCTGGTGGTTATGGATCAAGGGGGTATGACCTTTAGAGCACTTAATACACTTTTAGCATAGTTTAATTATTGATAGATGGATAGGTTCCAAAATGTTTTGAGGGAAAGCTTACAATATATTCCTTGGTAGATATGTGTATGACTGGAAAAGAGAGGAAGCAAATAAAAACCTCCTGCGAACACACACAACTGCTGTTTCATCTAGGATGCTTTACCAGTTGGCACAGGTTTGCATCTGTCTCTGAATTTGTTGGTATCGTGATCTTGTGGATGCATATGATAACATGGTGTTTGGTGCCAGTCAGACCTCCTACTATTCTCATTTTTTCCATATGATTTTAGATTGAAATTTCCAAGAAATGTACATTTATGTGTTTAAGCTGGGTTAAGCTATTTTACTTCGTATTTCTGTATTTTGTTTTTTACTCATCCCTCCTTCCGCACAGATAAATGATTAAACTTTCCAAAGTTCTAGCTCTGAATTATAGCTTGTATCATTTTATTTTTTTCATTTTAATGTCTTTGCAGAAACCATTTTCTCCGAAAAAATATTTCTCTATAGATCGTGTATTCAGAAATGAAGCAGTTGATCGAACACATCTTGCTGAATTCCACCAGATAGAAGGTATGTGAGAGCTAGTAAGTTACTGTGCTTGAGGTTTTAATTCTTTTCAAACTGTTCATCTTCTTGCAAATGAAAACATTACACCCTCATTAGTGTGGGGTTTAATGGGGAGTGGTTTCCATCATATTAAATGGGGATGGGGGCATTACTGAAATAGACTACAGGTGGTAATTCAGCTTTTGTTTTGGTTTGACCCACCAGGGGTTTAATCTCGGCATTAAAATTTGTGAAAAAATTTACCTGAATTTTGTGATTCTCATGATTTTGCATTTCAATTCAGGCCTTGTATGCGACCGAGGACTCACTCTCTGTGACTTAATAGGAGTCCTACATGATTTCTTCTCACGCTTAGGTAATGCTCTCTTATACTGAAAAACTTTGTATGATTTAATTGTTGAATGAAAGTTAGAGACTTTAGTATTATAATTTTTATTTTTATTTTGGATACAATGAGAATTGAACACACAACCTAATACAATCTACTCATATCCCTCACCACTAGACCAAACCTAATGGCTTAACTTTAGTATTATAATTAATCTGTTATTGATCTTAGCTAAATAATAATTTCATCATTGAGTCAGGCATGACCAAGCTGAAGTTCAAACCTGCTTTCAATCCATACACTGAACCTAGCATGGAGATTTTCAGGTGAGTCTTTCTGTAATGATTATTTGGCATTTCCTTATGCTATTCTGAGACTTTACATATTAATCAATTACTCTATCAGTTATCATGAAGGCTTTAAAAAATGGGTAGAGGTAGGAAACTCAGGCATGTTCAGACCTGAAATGTTGCAGCCGATGGGACTTCCTGAAGACGTCCAAGTTATTGCATGGGGCCTTTCCCTTGAAAGGTGAGAAAAAATTGAGCACACCATGATCATTGCTGAGAATAAAACGAATTAATTTGTAATACCTAAATTATAGTTACAGTTTTGCTCTCCAAATCTAAGGAAACTATAGGGAAATTGCATTGCAATATATTGATGGAAGTGACTGGAAATTAGTTTTAACTTGTTTTTTTACCTGGAAACAGGCCAACGATGATTCTATATGGGATAGATAATATCAGGGATCTCTTTGGGCACAAGGTATTGTTAACAAACTCTTTTGCACTTCTGTTGTTATCTCGGTTTTGAACTGAATAACCACCCTCTGGTTATTTGGTCTTGCAAGTATAGAAAACTTGATTGATGAGTTCTTATTTATAATTATTAAACATTTTTTAAATTTACGAAGTGATATTATCCTAAGTCTTGTATTTTTCATTTTTTTTTTCAGGTGGATCTTGGTCTTATAAAGAAAAATTCGATATGTCGTATTGGAATTGACTAAAATGATTCATTTGTCTATTGTATTTCTTGTTATTTATAAATTTTGTCTCTTGAGTTCAAACACTACCTGTAGATTAGTTCAATTTCTGTAATTTTTGTTATGGAAGAAAAAGTTACGCCTTTATTTGAAGATACCTTAACTCGTGGTTGTAGCATTTTTCTTTTGGTTTGGAAGAAAATTATTGGGAAAAATTTATTGTAAGTTACCAATTCCAAAGACGGGGCATATCATAAACCTTAGCTATGACTTACCTACTATATCACCCATTTTGGAGAATTGCTGGCAACCAAGCCTTGCAAGTGAAGTGTTTTGATCTTTACCAATTGAACCAGCTCTTGTTAACAGTGGGGACATCCTTTATTATTGCCATGGGTCTTCCTGGTGCTTCATTATATTGCCAGGCTACATTTATTCCCAGGAAAAGAGGGCAAGCTTCATCTTACCATAAGGAAAGGCTTGGAATTTCCGTGTGCAATGTACTCAAAACAATTTGTCTTAGTCTCAAGTTTCCGTGATAACGATAATAGATAGTGCAAAATCATATATGTAAAAGTAACTTTTCAGCATGCCTCGGACTATTTAGTTATCGAAAAATTTTGTTGGCAGTCTTTAATTTCACTGACACGGGCAGTGGTTAACAACTCATTTTTTGCTTGGAAAAATGTGGAACTTCTTTCATATTATATAATTCACCCATTTCTAACGCACCTTGGAATAATAATGAGGACCTATAAATTGACGGCAACATCCATAGATTAAAATTATAAACTTTAGTTAAATCCATAAGGACTTCAGACATTGATTGATATCTAAAACACACACACACACACATGGGAAGGATTATATTTATAAACTTTTTGTTTACAACACACACATATGGAGAGAATTATATTTATAAACTTTTTGTTTACAAACTACATTATGTATTTCTGGGAGTACATAGTGTAATTTGTAAAAATTCATAAACAGATCGTTTCCATATATAATAGCTTTTTTTTTAAGGATATTTTTACAAATAATCTGCCTTGGGAATGGTATCTTGCAATGGTAGGACCATGGGTCTTCAGCCAATATGGATCCAACAGGATTCAAACCAAACTTCATAGGTGATTACATGTTCAGACTGAGATTATTCAGTTGCACAACAGTCAAATTTACGTCTACTCCTGTTGTGGGGTAACAATACGAGTTCCAAAAATCAGGTGAAAAAATAAGATAATGAAGAGAGAACTAAGCAGACATGTAACAAAAATGAACACAATAACAAGAGTACAATATGCACATTTAAAGTGGGTTATGAGCATATACCTCAAACTATCCTAGAGATTTACAAGAAGTATACAGGTCAGGTCTCCTCATCTGATAAAACTTAGTCTGCACTCTGTAGAGGTAAGTTTCATTGGCTTTTTTTTTTTTTGGTAAGCAAGTTTCATTGGCTTTACTAGTGAAATGAGGCAGCGGATGACAAATTGCAAGCTTCTTTCTGTTTATTAAGGCACAGGAGCTCTTTTTCCTTCATTTACACATGAAGGTGTTTCTGCACTATATCAGCTGCTACAATGTCATTTAGCACCTCCATCTTTGAGAAGAACAATTACTATATTGCTCTAATTCCCATAAACTCAACCACCATTCTGTTTTCCACAGAGCCATCAATTTGTACATGTCTGGGGTGTAGTAATATCCCCAGCAATACCAGATTGAAGATGAGTAGTACCCTCCTTAATGACAGCAGGTTCAAATCTTTGGCGCTTTCTAATTGTAGAATTGACCATTTTCTTGAATTCTTCATCAGAGCTAGCCAACATGTATCTTAGCTTAATATTAATCTGATTCTCCACCAGAACCTTGTGTCTTGGGATAATTCGACCATCAAGAGAATAGCTGAAAAACCTGATAACGGGAAGGGACTTAGATAATTGTAGACAACCATGCAATGGAATACAAAACATAAGAATCAAACAAGATTTTTACAAAGTTATATACAGTCAAAATATCATTCTGTGATACCTTGGAAACTCAATAACATCTTGCAAAGGCCGGACCATGGTTTTCCGCAAATAACTATACTTGGGACAAAGGACATCTATATTGTATCTGAGCAGCATCGGGAAATCAGCAATCATCTCACCCAATTGCTTAATACGTATGCCAAGCGACAAAAAATATTTTACATTTACTTCAAGCTTATGTACTACGCTGCATCCCAAGAGCTCAGGTCCAAGAGCTACAACCTTGCCAATATCTTTCTCACTTACCCCAGCTTTGGTCATCAAGAATATAACCTATACACCATTCAAATTTCAGCAGATGAGTCAGTTTATTGGCATGTAATTATTGTGATCAACTTGTTATGTCTAACTAGCAAGCTCCTAGATGAAAGGAAGGATAAGTTAGTAGCACTTGATGCACAAATTCTCATTCGTAACTCATCATTTCTGGATGTGGTTTGATATGTATATAATACAGATATGAGATTGGTAACTGATAAATATACTTTTAACACTGGAACAGAATATATTCAAAATTAATTGAGGGGCCCTAATCCAATCATCTTAGCTGGTTTTCCCAAACACAATATGAACACTCTTTTTTCTTTTTTGTTTTCAGAATATTTTTTTTAAAAAAGAAAAAGACAATAGTCGCAGTGAGGAATTGGAAAAATATCTTTATGGTGACAAATTTCATAGTTGCAGAAGAAAGGACACACCACTGGTCTAATCTTCTTGTACAGGCTGTAAGTGAGTAGAGTAGGAAACTTTACAAGCATGTTGCCAATTGCATCATCTCGAACCCCTATGTCCTGAAAAAACCGTACCTTCATAATAAAATTGGGAATAAATTGTCAGCATTATCATCAGGAAACAAGACAGAAACCAATGGAAAATTTATTTCTGAATCTACTACAATCTATAGCTTAGAATATATTAGCATCTAGATATCGTGAGCTGGAGGAATGGAAATAATGATAACAGAATGTAAGCCATTTATGAAGTACCTATTGTACCAGCTGCCACCTTAATGACGAGCCTCATTCAACTGATTTAAAGAAACGAATAAAAACAGTGCTTGCATACCTTTGGCGCAATAGTCATTTGCAAGTCTGTACAAAAGACCATTGGTTTAATGGTAAGCATTCTCCGCATACCATCTCGGGTGATCCCATAATAGTACAGATACTTAACAAGAGGTTTCCATTGTTCCTCAATGCTGCACCCCATCAATTGTGGCCTAAATGCTAGCAATCTGCCAACATCATTGCTTTGAAGCCCAAATTCTTTTAAGTAATTAACCTGAAAATTACAACCGCAGCACCATACCTTATCATGTATATCTATATATCAGAAACATTTACCAACATGCATATCAAAGTAGACTTTATATCATTAAGCCTTTAAACATCCTACATGTTTCACTTAGATACTACTAAAACTGAATAAGCTAGTAAAGTATGAGAGATGACGACAATGATACATTGCAAGATGACTTTCTAATGTACCTTTTGGTTCATTACTTCCAGAGTAAAGTAACCAAGTGCTTTAGGATAATCAAAAACCATTGTGCCAAAATCCTTCTCATTTAAACCCATATCAAAATAGAACTGCGCACGATTCTTCACTTCTTCTAAGCTGTAAGACAACAATTGAGGACATCGACTCATGACATAACCCATCCACTCCCTCCTGACTCCATTGGACTCTAAATACAAAACAATCTCATCCAGCTCCTCATTGCTGCGTTGCAAAATATTCTCTCCACCCTTCAAGAGTGAAAGCCCAAGATATTCTCCTTTCACATGCACCGACTTCAACCACTCAACACAATTCCTTATGGACTCAAGTTTTCCTCTTGACATCAAAATGAGCTTTGCTATCTGAGGATACGACAGTGCATTATGCTTCAACCATCTAGAGAATTGAAGTAAAGAAGAAAGACAATCAATAACAAGAAGCATTTAAAATTCAAATTCCACACATTAAGAAACAACTAATACCAACAATAATAAGAGGAGGATTATACTTACAACTTATTTTCGTTTACAATCTTTTACAACTATATTTTAATAGTTGATTTTCGTCGATCAATAGTTAATTAATTAATGAGTTTGATTTGCGAAAATAATAATCGTTGATTGGCGACAGTTAAGATATGATTGTAAAATGTTGTAAACGAAAAGTATAACCATCCTCCGATAACAAATAGTAACAACTCAGACAAATCTTAGCTTCTTACCTGATAAGTGGCACAACTTGGGAATCATCAATGACGGTTTTGGCGCGTAAATTGAAGGTGGAGTGTGAATATTCCTGTAACCTTTTCAAGTTAGCAGCTTCAATCATGATGTAATCGATGAAACCAGGCACCCTGCTAACCAAATTGGTAGTGTATGTGATTCCAAACTTTCCTTTTCGCATAGCTTCTTTTAGAACCTCCTCAGTCACCTTCCTGCGAATCTGAAGAGCCCGCATGACCATCTCCTCCTCCTCATCATCATCATCATCATCATCATCGCTGAGAGCACTTGATTGAAACAGAGTGCGCAGAGGAGGCAGAGAAGAACCCACATCAGGGTCGCTTGGGGACTGAGCATAGATGGAGCCAGGAAACTGAGGGGTCCTTTTCCTGACAAGGGAAAGTTCCAAAAGCTTCACCTTTTCTTCATGGGGCATAGGGTCTTGCAGGTCACTGGATTTTGGAGTGAGTTGGTGAGAGTGGTGATGATGTTCATGTGAATCATGTTCATCCTCATCCTTGTGGGAAAGGTGGTGAAGGAGAAAGGCTGTGGATTTGGAATTGTGTTTGCGGAGAATGGGTTGTTGTTCATTTGGGGCATGTGGGTTTTGGCACATGACAATGCAGCATCTTGGGTTGCAGAGTGGAACAGAAGAGCAAGGAATGTAAAGGTTGTATTTTTGACATGAAAAAAACATCTTCTTTTCTTCTTATTAATGTGAAGATGGTGGTCGGAATTGGCAATGGATAAGAGTGTTAACAATTGCCACTCTTCCACATTTCGTTAGTTCGGTTTAAGGAAAACGAAGAACGAACATGTACATGTCCGACGCCGAGGAGATAGAATAAGTATATTTAATGCGATTTTACGAAACATACAGCAGATAAGGTCCCATGGTCTAGTGGTCAGGACATTGGACTCTGAATCCAGTAACCCGAGTTCAAATCTCGGTGGGACCTTCTTTTTTTTTCTTCGTATTTATTGTTTATCTGTTAAAATGTAGTTTATTTTTTTTGGTGGAAGAAATGTAATTTGTTTAAACCTTATCTAAATTTGATGAGAAAAATAAATTCAAACCAGTTAATTTATGTATGTTTTATGTTTACTATTAAATTCATAACCATGTGGGAAGAATAACAGATTATCATCTGCTCACCTAAGAAGTGTGCATACTCACAACTCACTAGACTGAACAAAGTTGCTCACTGCTCTTAATTTCAATAAGCCAACAAATTGATTCAGGGCCAAAAGAATCAGTACAACATTTTTTTTTTATGCTGTTCCTTTTTCCAGAATAACAAATCTGATCTGAAACAATAACTCTAATAATTAAAATTTACATTCCAAGAGAAGACTCTCAACAATGGGTTAAAAAAAAAAATCAATTACAAGTGAAAAAATTGTGGCTTGTTTTCTATCCAAAACAAGCAGTCAAAGGATCCAAAATCTACCATAGCACTCGACATTCTGGTCCTTTTATCTCTATCTGTCCACCATGTTTGTGTGTCCAAAACCACCGAAAAAGAAATACAATTCCCCTTTGAAAAGTGACAAATTCAAGGGACTTGAATGCAACTTTGTCCAAAACCACTGAAAAAGAAATACAATTCCCGTTTAAAAGATGACAAGTTCAAACCGCAGAAATGTACAATATGCGCCTTCCAATTCCAATATCCAAGCACAGCACCAAAACCAACAAGAGCTCATGGTATTAGGTGAACAGCAATGGGAATGGAAAGCCTGTTGGATCATTACCTAAAAAAATCAAGACTTACGCCTTCAGCTACTCCTGCTCCTGCCTCTCTACATCTTGAACTCCAGAAGGTTCAGGGAATATCTCCCTTGAATGACGTGTAAGGGAGGATGAAACATCACCCCCAGCATTGAGGAAACTACCCTGTGAGCCAGTAGTTCCTGAACGCTTTAAAGTACTCCCTCCTTCTACTCTTGTACCTGAGGCTGCCGGCATTACTGTTACATCAGATGAACTCTGACGCCAACTACCAAACAATGCAGCATTCCAAGAGCCTCTAGAAGAGGTTGCTCTGAGTCTTGCAGAACTGGAATTTTCTTCCCTTACAACTTTGAAAGGGTTTTCCAAAGCCTTGAGAACATATCTCATAGGGGGTCTTCTTGAAGGTTTGGGATTTAGGCAAGACCTGGAAACTATGGCCACTGCCCACACTTCCTCTAATAAATCCTCATCAACAATCAGAGATGGATCCACTATTTTTGTCACAAGCTCCTTGTCGTAAATACTAATACAAGGTAGCATTTGCTCCAACCATTGCTTTAGTTCAGCATCACTGGATGCACTAATTCCCAGCTTACCGGTCACCAGCTCAAGTAATACTTTCCCAAAACAATACACGTCATAGGCACAAATTGATGTTGATGCACCTTGTTTCACAGTTTAAAACAAAAAATGTCATAAATTAATAGATTACAAGAACTCTTCTATCATTCAAGTATAAACACAACCACAGCTTCAAATGATATCAAAATATAACCCCTTTCAGCATAAGAGAAATAGCAATTCTAAGCTTCAAAAAATTCCATCGCATTTATTTCCCAGTCAGCTAAGGACAGAAATTTTAAAATGTAAAGACACAAATAGTTGGAACAAAGATTCAAGTAAGAAAGAAAAAACTAATTAAGAGCAATAAAGAAAGTCCACCTCACCATACATTTCCCTGCTTCCACCGTTCACACACAGACCTCAAATCAGATTGAAGGAAAACAACATTAAGTTGGTAAATGATGATAAGAGATGTCCATCAATTTTATTTTATTTTTTTGATAGAGATTAATAATTATGTTTCCATTCCTACTCTTAAAGAGTTCCAACCACAATTCACAGTGATCATCCACAAAAACACCATTGTATATCAATTTATAGGTGACAGTTTCGAAAGTGATTCATAAATGATATTTCTACTGCACCAAATTATCTTCTCTCACAATACAGTCAAAAGGACAAAGTTGATATCTGTAAGAGGTAAAATGTGAATGATTGAGACACACAATCGAGAGTCAAGACAGAACTGACTACACATTCATGCCAAAAAATAAACGTGAATTTCTACTTACCATGAGTGCCGTGTTCAGAGGACCTGCACATTAACAAGAGAAATTAGATATTAGATAAATGTTTATATAACAAATAATATGCATTTGCAAATGGGAAAAATAGTTCTACTTTTGCTGAAGAGAAAAAAGTATCCAACAGCAACACAGCCATGTTTAACTTCTCTAGCGAGGTAAGACAGGAATCACGCAGAAATTTGAACAGATGTCAAGGTTTTACTGATAGTAACTTTGTGTAGACCACAGAGGTTTTTAAGGAATCAGCTCTTGACAACCCAAACCAACAGAGAACTAACTACACCCATTACACAGGGCTCACAATCAAATTTGAAGACTGGAACGTCAAGAAAACTAAAATAATACAGTCAGATGCAGATTTTGACAACATTCTAAAATTATAAACTAATGTAAGTACTAGGTGTGGTACTGCACCAAACAAAAGCCTGTGTAGAGTAATGTATTAATTTGTTCCTCTAGTAAAGAGTTAATTCAGAAAAAGGTGCAAAAGGTGATAATTAAATGGCTACCATACCGAAGGGTTTCATAGTCACAAAGTCCGAATATGTCCATTAAGTAAGTTTTAAGTTGGGGATAATGAAAACCAAATAAATGGCTTTCATTATTAGAAAACCCAACAGACAGAATGACGTACCATAAATACATAAAATAATTTTTAAAAGCAATAGACCACTTCAAAGCATGAGCATTTTCTAATAAACAGCTTAAAAGGAAGCACAATACTGTCAATATATAATGAATTATTAAAGACCTATCAAACATCATTTTCATGAAATTCATCAAATAAATTTGTTAATGGAGTGCTTACTGGGGCAACCGCAGCAACCGGGTGATTTTGCTTTGATGAGTATCCACATCTTGAGGGCAGGCTTCACTTAGACTTCCTAACCGAACTTCATATTTATCATCTAGAAGTATACTGCTCGCTTGGATATCTCTACAATAATTAAAACATTAACTTGTTACTACAAGCACACCATTTACCTTCCAATCTTTCTTAGTTCCATTTATAGAAAGAGGATAGTCACACTCAATACACCTAAAAGATATGACCACTGATATTCATGACCGCAACCTTGGCCATATACACAAAGCTGCCGCCACTAAGGACATCAACGAACATATGCATTTATTTAAATTAGGTCAGTTCTTCAATAACCACAGTCCCTGCCTACCTATAACTTAAATCTTGCTATAATTTCACATGATCTCAGTAAAAACTTACAAATTAATGATCAGTTAACAAAGAGCTGCATTTACGTAAATAAGTCTTATAAAAAAAATCCGTCGTCTCCAACCACCCCCCACCCAACCCCAATTTGTGGTAATTATCAATTTCCCTAAATATTCCAATCAAAAGGTTTGAACCCTTCAAAAAGATACTAGCATCCAGGGAGTTGGAATAAATCACTGAATCAGAATTCTAGTTTACATTTTATTCAACAAATTAGCAATATAGACAAGAAATTACAGATAGAAGGGCATAGGTCAATCATGCATCATGTCAGGTGTCATAATAGAATGGCTAGTTCAAAAGAAAGAACAAGTAGGGAAAATCTTCAAAATCGAGAAAGAAAGAAGTCGGGAGATACCTGTGAACAAAGGGCGGATTACATTCATGATGCAGATAAGATAGGGCCTCTGCTGCTCCAATGGCAATTTTCAACCTTGTTATCCAGTCCAATGACTGCAAGCTACCATCTTCAGATGTAGTTTTTCTGTAGTACAAGCAGTTTGACAAGTCCCTATTTAGCATATGTTTATAAACCAGGAACTTCTCATTCTCGTTTTCTAAGCAATGACCCAGCAGGGGAACAAATCTAGGATGTGAAACCTTATTAAAAAATTCCAATTCCAATAAATAAGCATCCTTTTTAGTTGAACGAATGTCAATCCTTTTGATGACTACAGGAATCCCACTTTCCAAAACACCATTAAAGAGATCCCCAGTGTGACCATGTTTGATAAGATTTGTATCATTGAAGTCACCTGTGGCCTGGAGCAGCTGATGATATGTAAATGAGTCTCCAACACTAGAAAAGTTAATTAGTTCGCCAGGTTGTGGAGAACTGCCTCCAGCAGGAGCAGGGCCCACACCATTTCCCCTTTGATTTGAATTACCCTTTTTTCGAATGCATAGAAGCAGCAGTACGAGTAACAACAAAAGTGCAATTAAACCCAGCCCACCCAAGACTGCTGCCAATATTATCTTTTTTTTATTGCTCTTCCCAGAGCCTTTTGCTGCAGGAGCACCTGTTGAATTTGGACGTCCAAAATTATCAAAAGTGAGGCCCCTCTCAGCATAAAATGATGCACATTCTACTGGTGTCCTCTGATCGGTCACATTTTGGAGGCAATTGCTATCTACAGATGCATTAAGCATGAAGTCCAGAACCCTGCCCTCAAAATAATTGCTTGACAGATCAATGAAACCGAATCTTCTTAACAGAGGAGTGAGGCCTCCATAAAACTTATTATGAGAAATATTGAGCTCCGCAACAGTAGAATTAGCAATGAAACTAGAATTAGGAAGCTGACCAGTGAAGTTATTGCTAGAGACATCGAGGAAGCTCAATCTTGGCAGAGACCACAACTCCACAGGCAAAGCACCAGTGAAATTATTCTGTCTCAGCATTATGAACAGAAACTGTGATGAATTAGTAAACAGGTCCTCTGGCAGAGGTCCATCAAGTATATTATTCCCAAGATTCAATCTCTGCATGTTCCTAAACCCTTTCAAATTTGAGGGCACAGCACCAGAAAAAGAATTCTCACTAAGATCAAGGTCAACTAAGCCACTTAGATCCCCCAATTCTGCTGGTATAAAAGAAGTTAGGTCATTGTTGGATAGATTCAAGTATTGTAACTCGGAGAGGGCCCCAATGGCTGGGGGAATCGACCCGGATAAAAAATTGGCAGAAATGTCAAGGGAAGAAAGATTCCGAAGAGAGAAAATCGATGCCGGCAGGGATCCACTAAGAGAATTATGGGAAAGTTCAAGCACTGAAATTGCTAACAGTTGACCCAAACTAATAGGAAGTATCCCAGTAAGTTTGTTATCAGACAAATAGAGGCTAGTGAGGCTGGTTAAATTCCCAAGACTGGGAGGAATAGAACCATTGATGGAGCAAGAACGAAGATCAAGCACCCGAAGTGAAGAGAGCTGTTGGCCAAACCAGTCAGGGATAGGATCAGGGAGCAGAAAATTGGAGGCATTGAAGGACTCCAATAGGGTGAAATTGGCCAAGGCTTCCACAGCAAATTGTGGATTTTTCTTCCCAAGCCTGGTTCTTCTAAAGCCAGATATATTGATGGCAACAACTCGACCATTTTGGCACCTAACACCATTCCAGTTTAAACAAGGGTCAGCTTTTCTTGGCCATTCCTTGCTCCTCAAGCCCAGAGAAGATCGAAGTTCCAGCAGTGCTGCTCGCTCAGTAGGTGAACTCAGTGGCTCAATTTGCTCCAATGTGAATTGAAACTTAAACAGCAACAAGAACAAGAACACAAACGATACTATGTTAAGTTGATCCACCATGTCTTTATTATGAGCGCTGACCAAAACATCCAAACATTCCAATCTTGCTCCCAAATACGTATGCACTTTTGTATCTATGTCTGTAATCACAAGTGGAGAATGGAGATATACAATAGGCCAATACAGAAGAAGAACACATTTTTTTATTCTCTCTCTCTCTCTCTCTCTCTCAGTGTGTGAAAAGTCTTACACTTTCACTTTTCAATAGGAAAAAGAACAAAATAAATAAAAGAGTAGAACAACAATTACCTCAATTACAAGGCTTTGATTCTTCAAACTTGGGGATAACAAATCTGCATCGCTTTTTGTGCTACCTTTCTTCTCTCTCTCTCTCTCTCTCTCTCTCTCAAAATCCATCAAGTTTCTTCAGTTGACCCGGAAGCAAGATGGAAAAGGGGGAGATTTTAAATTTGGAGAAAATTGAAAACAATGTTAAGGGTTGAAATAAAAATAACAACGACATGGAATGAAGATAATAATTCAAACATGAAAACTATATCTATGGAAAGTGGACTATCAACAATAGCTTGCTTCTGTCACTGCTCAAAGCCTCACAAATAATAAAGGTAGAGTCTTTCTTTCAAAAAAAAAAAATGCTGAAAATTCTATGGTTCTGCCATGATGGTTTGTTTGAGAGTGAGGTGCAGAACAAGATGGCTCGCCGTGTTCTGACACTGAATCCACCACCGGTTCGGTTCTATGCCCGGTTTGACCACCGTTTATCCCGCCCAGTACAGCTAAGCCCACAAAACTATTGCTTCTAAGTTCTAACCTCTCTTTTTATTTTTTATTTTTTTATTTTTTGCCCTCTCTCTCTCTCTGTGAGCTTTGAAGTTTGTCACTGTCTAGTTGCAAGGGAAACTTTGATTGTGTTCAGCACTGACCAATAAACTCTAGTAAATGCGCTACTTTTTCTTAGGTACTCACATTAAAGTTTAATATGGATGAACAAGACATGCTTTTGACAATATTATACATTTTATGAAAAGTTTGACAAATAGTAGAATCTTTAATACATTTTAGAGTAAAGCTCTTTAAACTGCTAACAATAAAAATAAGGTCTTTATTTTTGTCTCTTAGAAAAAAAATAATTATATTAGTCTTTTTTAGGAATTAAATTGGATCTTTATTAAATTTCTGAAGAACCATATTTTCAAAGAACTGAAATTGTAGAGAAATCAAAAATTGACTTTTTTTATAAAGAACGAGAGTGATAATTGTATTTTTTGTTAAGGACCCAAAAAAAAATTATATACTCAATTTCTATTTGCATTGAATTGAATCAAATACTCAAATATTTAGGGGTGTTAATTAATGTAGGTACACTTAGAGCACCGATGATATTTCATTCTTTATGCGAAAACATAATGAAAACTATTTTTGTCTCTTACAAAAAAAAATTATATTAGTCTTTTTAGGAATTAAATTGGATCTTTATTAAATTTATGAGGAACCATATTTTCAAAGAATTGAAATGGTAGAGAAATCAAAAATTGACTTTTTTTATAAAGAACGACAATGATAATTATATTTTTTGTTAAGGATCTAAAAGAGCTTTACTCTACATTTTATGAAACGTTTCGTACATAGATTTTGTTTTTAATAGTTTTTGTAGTGATTGATATGAAAAGTTCAGTTTTTACGAATTGAATAGTTGGAAAGTGACTTTCCTTGTTTACTTTATTAAAAATGAAATTTGTGATGGTAGCATTAGTAGTAACGATGATTGTAGTGGTTGTAATTAAGAACGATGATGATGACACTTAGGCACTTAGCTATTGGTAGAAATTAACCTTATGTTTAATTAAAGTAAAAATTATTCAAACAAAAACCAATGATGAGCGTAATCTTGAATAAACTTTAATTAATAGAATCAACAAGAAATTCTAAGTTGGTATCCAAATTATGGGATTGTTATGATTTATGAATGACTTTTCTTCCTCAGCATCGATGAAAAGTTTAGTATTAATTATTCCTCTTTCGTAATACCTCTAATATTCGACCCTGTAAACCATGAATATAAAGGGTTTTTTTTTCCAACACGTGTTCAATTTATGCAATAAGTATGGTAAATGTATGTTTTTCTATATTTTTAGTGAGTTATTATTTTACAAAAATGGATCTAAGACTTAATGCTCAACAACAAAAATTATAATGTATTTTGTAAGCAAGTGGTTTAAGAAATTCTTCGTTGATTGATGTATTTTATGAATTTTGATAACTATTTTAAAAATGTTTAGATACAAGATAATTATTCTTTTTCTTTGTTTGTTTGGAAATAAAAGCAATTTTTTTAATAGGGAAAGGATGTCAATGTTTTTAAGTCAATAGCAATGATAATATCGACAGTAATAGTTAGAACAATCACAATGAGTGTTATAAAAACGATAATCACTAGAGCAAAAAGATAATGATGATGATTATAATTTTATCATTCTAATGATCACAATAATGGTAGATTGATAGTGATTTAATGTAGATTTCCACATACAGTTACAAATAAATTTGGATATAGTGTGGATGTAATAAATTTATACTTATATTTAATGACATATTATTACTTCATTGTATATTTATTAAATGATATAAGAAAACATTATTTGATATAAACATATATTTTTTCATAACAACAAATGCGTCAGAAGAATAAAGAAAAAAACCAAAACACTACACGAGCATGAAATTAAAATTTGAAATTTTTTGTCTTTTTACCTATAATATTAAGCATATTTATTTTGTTTTGTTAAAGTTAACATTAAGTAAGATGTAAGGATCAAATATTATTGGCATAAGTGGTAAGGAATTTGTGTCCCTTAATCAAATATCTCGAGTTTGAGTTCTGAAAATGAAAAAAATGATCTTGAAAGAACCATTACCGCTTTGGATTTAACAATACTCGAACCGGACTGATTCCAAGGATGAATCGGTTGAAGAGAATTTAAAAAAAGAAGTAAGATGTACGGGAAGAAATTATAAAGAGCTGTGTTAAATTAGGGTGTATTTTGTTTAATTTGATAAATTGAGGTAAAAAAAATGTCACTGAAAATATAAACTAAGAGAGGAAAGTACATTTAAACCTACTAATTAAGTAGCTTGAAACAAAAAGAGAGAAGAATAAAATGCAGCCAAAATTAACCACCAAAAAAAAAACAAATTCTTGTATCGCTTGCCAACACACAAGTTAGAAAAATTTTCTCAATGTCAATGGCATATGGACCAGCTTCAAAATGTACGAAAATTTTCCTTTTTTATGAATGAACATTTAAGTTTTTTTCATTGCATATATGGTTCGTATTTTGGGTTGCTGTATACAGCCTGTAACTTTAAGGTACATTTATATTCTCTTAATATAACGCAAAAGGAGTAAAAGCAATGTAAGTGTTTCGTCATAGAATGCCTGGAAGCGAAATTTAATTTGCGGTGGCCTTTCACTGCAACAGACGAGACTTTTGTTGAATGTGATACGCAACAAATAACGAAAGTTTTTCTTTCTTTTCTTTTTTTTCCCTCTCACACGAGTGATTTGGTGTAATAGAGAGTGAATTTTGTTTTTAGCATAGGAATTTAAGTATTCGTAATGTTAGTGCATGGAGAAAATAGTTAAAAAAAAAAAAAAAAAAACCTTATTTTTTATAGACAAAACCGTTTTTAATATAGATCCAACAATATTCGAATCCTGGATTCTAAAAAAAATATTACGAACAAAGACTGTTTGATTATTTTTTTTATTTTCAGAGGAATTAATTTCGAAGAGTAATAACCGACGTTGAGGAACTAAAATACAGTGAAAAAAATTAAACTTGAAACCATTGTCCGTGCTTTATATTGACAAGTAATGTGAAATACACATATCGTTTATACATAAATAATTTTTGTTCATTTAATTATAATTAATCTTACATCATATTTTAAGTAGTCACACTTTTATTTTGTCTCATTACAGAAATATTAAATTACGTAAATAGTAACTGTGGCCCCAAACAGTATTTAATTTAGGAAAAAATATTTATTTAATTTTTTTTATAATAAAATATTTATTTTTTAAATGATATAATTTATGTCATTTCATTCTCACATAAAAAAATGGGATTCACATTTTTATTTTTATTTTGTTCATTCTCTCTCTTTATTTATTTTTTTTCACTTAAAATGACACAATTCTACCTTCTTTAATTTAAAGACACATAATTTTTCCTATCCTATTAGTGGATGTGTACTTCTCGGAGATAGAAAAACAAGAGGGAAACTTTCGACCCAAATAGTTTTTTTTAATATTATTAAAATCGGTATTAATAACTTGATTGAAGTATTGGATCATTGGTTCAATCAGTGGATCACTGGTTGAACTGCATGACCCAGTGATTATATATAAATTTATATTAAAAAAATTATAAATATAGTCAAATAGCTGAAAAAATAATATAAATTTTAAATAATTTAATATAAAAAATAATAAATTATACATTATTGTCCAATAAAGAATCAAACAAATACATAATGTTTGTTATATTGGTATTTCAAGTTCGGTAAATGACATTTCTAACTATCAAATCAAAATTTACTGCATAATGCATAATTGAGATAATATTAAGATTGTAGGTACATAACTTATGTAAGTCAATAAGTAACAGATTACTCAAATATGTCAATTATGATTTTTTTGACTTTTTTTAAAAAAAATACTTTTTTTAAAAAAATTGGGTCGGGTCACCGATTTTTCACCAAAAAATCAGGTAGCACCAGATCATACCAGATCTAATACTTGACTGATCCAATATGATAACCGAATCAATTAAATGATTGATTCACCAAATCTCGGATTGACCCGACCGGTCCGGTCTAGTTTTCACAATTTCATAGTCAATAAACATTAGGTCACATCAATAGCAGATATAAGTATTTGGGGTAATCAATCTTGACATTTTTTTTTATTAGAGTGTCGTGAGATTCCTGCAATACTGATATGATTGTGTCACGTGGTGTAATTATGTTCAGTTAATTCTCTCATTCTCATTTTATCCCTGAATATTTTCATGCTCATTTCAACTCCTCTCATTCTCACATAACTCTTACTCCCCAACATAAATTAAATTATTTAGCAATTCTCCTGTTTGAGATTAATATCCTATTTTTTTAAAAATTTTGATTAATCATATAATAATTAAGGATTAAGAATTAAGATTTCCTGATTTGGAATTTAGGATTGATTAATATTCTATTATTGTTTTATAATTGTTTCTTAGTAATTTATAAACTGTAAAATAAAATTTAATTGTTAAATAAATGTTAATTTTAATAGTATTATTTTTTAGTGATTAGTAAAAATTAATAAATAATAAATGTGAATAACATTTAGTGATTAGTAATTTTTGGCTTTTTAACCCTTTTGCCCCTCATTAATTAAAAAATAATCATTTTGCCACTATTCCAAAACTATACCTCAATCTACCCTTCTTTAATCGATTACACTAAATATTTAATCGACTACTCCAAAAATTTTGACCTAATCGATTACATAATCGATTAAATGTAATCGATTAAATGAAAAGAAAAAATGTCACAGAGATTCTTGTATTCTAGAACCGCATGAAGCATGGCTGTGTGGTAGAGTAAGTGCATGAAATGATAA